TGAATATTGAATTATTTTATTTAGTGATGAAGAGAATTTAAGAATCAGGAGTCTCCATGTTTTATCATGGAAAAATATCAAATATGCATGCATAACGCATAGGAAAAAAATTTCTTAAAAAAATGTGCAGGCTGTCCGGATTTTAGATCATTCTAGATATTGAACTTAATACTATATGCACATCAGCATGTGTATGTGGAGTGTGTCCAGCAAAGGAGTCCATGAATTTTAACCTTGAAAACAATGATCAATAGAGAAACAGGAGACTAGGCTAAGGGACTAGAGTCTCAAAAACAATGACTGATAAGAGGACTACAACAAGTGGTATATTTATATTGCAAGCTGTATGATTGTTATACAGAAGTTTTTTAATAATATAGTTACAAAAGCTGCAAACATGGTGCTGTAATCACAATACATAGCATCTATACATAACACTCCAAAAGACATAAGGGTGATCAATTCCACTCTTGAAACATGAGAGGAGATTAGCATATGGAAGGAAAAGGTTGAAACTACATATTCCATTGAACATGTATTTCTGATACTGGATTACCAGAGATTAGATTACAGTCCTAAAGCAACAAGGCAATTTTCAAACATAACTGAATAATCCCTAAGGCCCTGACATAAAAACCATTCACAAGCTCTTACCTAAAATGTCCAATGGATAGGCTGATGATCTGCTATGGAATTTTGGTCGCAGGAAAACAATTGTTACTCCTGAAAATGTCACAACTTTTTCTGGAATTAATCAGCAAACTCCAAGGAAATTGGTCCAAAGAATTGCAGCAGAGACTAATTTGAAGCATTCCAGCTTACAGAAAATATTGAGCTGTTTCCATTCAAATCCTAATCACCAGTATACAGTGCCATCTGTTTACAACTTTTGTAACTATTATTTCAAAACGTCTATGTAACAGTCTCATGGCTTTCACAATAAATACAACACTTGTTGTATTCCTCTATCAAGTTTGTTTCCAGATTTTTAATTTTGAAATCAGGGAACACGCGTTCTACTTTAACATATGTTATACTTACATTTAACTTAATGCATACCGGATGCTTTCACTATTAAATGCACCTCCACCATCATTTCTAGTCAAAATAAAGGAATAAGAACCCAGAAGACCTAGTAAACACAAATTTCAATAAGGTTGGAGGTTAAAATAATTTTTTAATAAATTCCATAGATAAGGTTATAGTTGCAAATTGATCTTAAGAGCTTATATGTTAACCATGTTTTAAACATTTGAAAAAGTTGAAGTAAGAATTAACTTCATTAAACACAGTCTAATAGTTAATGTTGCTTCTAAAATATCCACAATTAACAGTTTTTAAATACAGTACAAAGTACGTAATCTGGACGTCCATTATCCGGAATGATCTATAATCTGGACCTCAAAGCCACAAACTTTTTTTTGTATGCTTTATGCATGTGTGTTTAATGTATAACAGACGTTATAAGCTAGGCTAAAATTATCTTTACTGATTCTAAGGCATTTCAGTTAATGTTGCAGATTGTGCTGTTCCTTAATCTTCTAATTGGATCTGGCTTATTATTTTTTGCAAACTGTTAGAGCAATTTTATAAAAATTAAGCTTGAACTTTCGATTATTTCAAAAAGAGTTTCCAATTCTGGAGCTGCCAAAGGATCTACAAAGCGAAAGCATGTTTCGATGTCCATCAAACAAAAAGTGGAATTGCTGCAAAAAAATGGATAAAGGCATATCCCTCTCAAAATTATGCGAGGAGTATGACATTGGAAAGTCAACTGTATATGACATAAGCAAAAAGAAATAGGAACTTTTTGAATTTTTTTGTGAATTCTGACACCCCACTTGCAATGAATAACAGAAAAAGAGTTCATTATGCTAAAAGTGAGAATCACGAGAAAGTGATGATTGAATGGGTCAGACAGCGTCGCAGCAAGGGCATGCCATTGATGGGTCCAATGCTAATGGCTGAAGCCAAAATATTTCATGAAGAAATGAACTTAAACACTGAGTGCACATATTCGACAGGTTGGTTAAACAAATTTAAAAATTGCCATGGTATAGGACAATTAAAAATTTCAGGTGAAAAAGCTTCAGCTAATACTGAAGCTGCTGAACAATTTGCAGAAGAATTCATTGAACTCATTACTAGTCAACAATTATCTCCAGAACAAACTTACAATGCTGATGAAACTGGTCTTTTCTGGTAATATGTACTGCGAAATACTTTGGCAACCACTGACAGAAAAGGTTCCAACTGCTGTTAAAGATTCCAAAGCAAGATTAACAATTTTAGCATGTGCAAATGCTGCAGGAACGCACAAGTGCAAACTTTTTGCAATCGGAAAACATGCATGACCTCAAGCATTTAAAGGAGTAATGATTTCCTCTTTATATATATCGCGCAAATAAAAGATGCTGATGAAACTGAAAAAACACAAGTGTTGATGAATGATTGCTTTGAAAATCACTTTTTACCCAAGGCTCGGCGACATTTGAATTTGGTTGGGTTTACCTGATGACTCAAAAATAGTCCCGATTGCTGACAACTGTTCGGCACATACTTCACTTAAAAGTTTTAGCGAAAGATAATGTATCTGTATTATCCTTCGCTCCAAACTGTATGTCCATCATTCAGCCTATGGATATGGGAATAGTTCACGCGCTGAAATACAAATATAAAGGAGCATTTTAAAAATCTATGTTAAATTTCTTGAACAATAGCAACACTATTCAAGACTTTTTGAAATTTTTTAGCATAAAATCTGCTGTGGGGAGCATCGCAAGATCATGGGAGAATGTGTCTCCAGATACATTAAAAAATGCTTGGCATAATTTATGACCAGCTACCATATTTCATAGTGAGGATGGTGAAGATGATAGCCACGAATTTGAAGGTCTTCGGACATCGTAAACTAAAAGCGAAATTTTCCAGTTATTGAATTTTGTAAACAAACGTGAAGAAGCGGTAATAAATGAAGATGATATAACAGAAGTTTTTCATTGTGATGACAATGCTTCAATCATCAATCAATTAACAGGCAGCAAAATCTGTAGTATGGTTCTAGATCCAGAAAATACCGCTTCCGATAGTGAAGAAAATGACAGAGAGGTTATTGAAAACGAAAATATTTCGATTAACAAGTTAGCCGGTATTCTCAACACAGCAATTACAGGACTTGAACAGTGGAACTTTGTAACTGAACAAGAAATTATGTCTGTTTATAGAATTAAAGAGAAAGTATTAGCACAAAAAACGAAGCAACTTAAACAGCTTACATTGAAAGAAATGTTTAATAAAGTAAACAAATAAATATTAAGCTTTTTTTTTTGTAAATTTTGATACCCTTTAGTTTTTAGAAAATTTTGTTTTAATAATTTTTTATTTCATAAATTACGGTTTCATATTTTTAATTGTACAATTTCTACATGCCATCTCACCAGATTTAAGTTGATCTATAATTTGGAAAAAGCCTTAATCCGGAATCGCCGAAGTCCCGACGAGTCCGGATTACAGACTTTGTACTGTATCAACATTTAACAGATAAACTGTCATCAGTTTATCAGCTTTTTTGTTTGTTTAATGTAACCCCCTATGGAATACATACACTCAATCAATCTAGCATGTTTCTTTAACCTTTTAACTGTCACGCCCGAGTATAACTCAGGGTAATTTTTTTTTTAGTGCATCGTATTGTTATATCCGAATATATATCAAGAGACGTTTATTTTGGCTTCATTTCTTTGTCAAACCCGACTGCATCTCAAGAAAAGTTAATATGCGCTCAATTCAATAGATGACAGCACTTTATTGAAGATTTCAAAGGTTAGAGATTATAAGTTCTTTGGTTCAAAGCACACGGGATTTTTTTATTGTAAAATGGCATCCAGTTCTTTGAAACGTTATATAGATGATTTAGATTCTTCAACCGAAGATGAAGGATGTGTGTTTGATGAGCAGTATTCATGATACTTCCATGGTCAGCCTCAAAAATAAAAAAAAAATTTTTTTTTAAAAATGAAGATATACTCAAGCCGAAGATTGTTTCTAATTACGGTCTAACTATGGGTGGTGTAGATCGCTGTGATCAGGAAATATCCTTTCATCCAGCAATCCGAAAACGTCAGAAAAAATATTATAAAAAAGATATTTTTACATTTACTAGTCAAGGTACTCTGGAACTCATATTTGCTCTATAAAAATGTAGTTGGGAAACGTATTACATTTTTAGAAATTCGAATCCAAGTTGTAGAAGAGCTTTTACATAAATATGATGATGCAGCTTCTGAACAAAAGAATGTTGGCAGACCACCTATAATAGATAACCCTGCCCGTCTTACTGAACGACATTTTATATCCCATTTTCCTCTTACTCCTGCGAAACGTGAGCCTACAAGACAGTGCAAAGTGTGTTGTTCGAAAAAGGATAAAAATGGGGAAAAGATAAGGAAGGAATCACGATTCTGGTGTAGTGATTGTGGAGTTGGTTTGTGCTTGGAAAAGTGTTTCCAGTTGTACCACACAAGACTGAATTACTGAACTACTAATAGGTATTCACTTTTATTTATTTTTTTCATTTTTAGAAAATAATGCTCCACTAGAAGCGAACTTTACAACTGCCATGTTGAGTGGCAGCCCCCTCAAGCAAATACGCAGTGGCTACAAAACTTTAAAAATTTTACCCATGTACTTCAAAATGTCAATTTTTAACTACTTAAGTATATTTTATTTTGTACTAAACATTTGATTTTTCCAATAAAAAAATTTGACAATTTGTGTACCCAAATCATCAAAATAACTTGACAATTAAAGGGTTAAGGGAGGAACTTATATCTTTCTGTTATTTTGTGTTACTAAAATGGCTTAGATGCTTTTAGAAGTTTCACACTTTTTGGTTATTTTAAAACTAATCAATAAATATGAAAGATAATGTTCCCCTACTTGAATTTTTTTAATGATCTCTTAAATGCATTTTGAATATAAAAAGAAACACTCAGACAATATTAATGTTCATCAATGTTTACTAATCACAACAATAAAAAATTTACCTACATATGAAAAACAGATTATTATACAGCAATATGGAACCCAAATTGCAAAACAGCTCATGTTTTTGATGGCCTCACACTGTCCCTATATTAGGACAAAAGACTAAATGACATGTCACGCTAAGTCCACATCTTATTCCCTTCATATACCATCATTTGCAGAATAAAATTTTTAATTTTTCACAGATAAGATTAATAAAACCACTCTCTTGCAGACAGTAGTTTAAAACCTCTACTATTTACACAAAATAACTCTTTACATAAATTACAAAGTGTTGTCCATTTTTATAAGCTAAAAAGAGCCCCTGAAGTAATAACATTTTTTACACATTTTCTCACTTACAAAAGGTAATTTGCACTGGGTAGTTGCACAAGTGTAAATTTTTACCCTCATTGAGGTGTCAAGTCAGTTCACAGACAAACATATACACCACGAATGGAGATGGAAAGACACACAAATAATACTTAGATTAAAAAAGCAACAATGAATATATTTTACCATAAGATCTTCTTACCATATTATTAAGAAATATTACATACGAAGGAAAGACAGATGCATAGCATGTAAGACATTGGCTCAGAATATAAAAAGAAATATAAAATAAAAACGGGATAATTTTATCAAATGAAATAAATGGTTGCATACATTAACAGACAAAAACAAATTTAATTCAAAATTTATCAATAATATTAGACAATTCATTTAAATGCAATATTGACAATGAAAGCAATACCTTAAATAAGTAAACATGTTAATATATATGTAACACAGATTTTTTACAGCAATTTTGTAACTTTGTGCATCATCATCTTTCGATGTATGCAGCTGGAGGTACGGAAATTTGCAATGTTGATGAAATATAAAATTAAAAGCAACAGGAAAAAAAATTATGAAACATAGATTTTAACACGCTTTCTACAGACACACATTAAATTTTTCTATGTAATTAATTGCACAGTTGAAATGGAAAAGAAAAAATAAATATGATTTAAATGAATCAAAAGAAAGTTAATGAATGACATATGAAAATGAATGAATTGGAAACATTCTCCATACTAAAAAAACTATTATTAAAAAGTATTGGTCAATTATTCCATAATGATAAACAAAAATAACATATACTGGAATCAGCATAGGTACTGTAACTCTTTTTTTCTAATCACTACAATACTGCAACACTGCCTGCCCACGATAAGTTTGAAACTTATCAGTTATTTGGTTCCGAACATGCAAAATAACACAGTAAAAAAAATCAGACATTTAACTCAGTACACTGAATTTTCATATCAGGAACCATAACCAATCAAGGGTTAAAAACAAATATAATTTTAATGCGTAACTAACAACCAACGTTCATCCTTTAGACTTGAAAATGTATTTATGAAGCTGCACACATAGATTAAAAAATAAATTAACAATGAAGGGATGAAATGTTTTCGAAATAATATTTCTCACTCCCACAAACCAACTGCATAGGTATGGAATTTTCACCTGCATTTTTTTCAGAGGCAAGTAAAATTAATTTGCTTCACAGTTCAGATCATGCACAAATTTCAAAGTAAATTAAGTCAGCCAGTATTCATACCAATTAAAATTCCTCACAAATTTAGTAAGCATCACATTTACCACTATGAAACCAACATCCACATTTACATCAGGGTGACCATAAAAAACATTAAGTTATTTTTTTTGAAAAGGCTACAATCTTTAGGTTGTGAAGCAACAGTTTTCACAATTATTCAAAATGATTTCAAAGCATTTAAAAGATACAATTTAATAATAAAACTTGGAATGGAGCTTATAAAACATTTTCAAAATTATGAGGAAAAAAACGTACAAAATCTATAATACTCAAAAGTCAGTATAGAACTTTGAAAAAAAATAAGATATATGGAATATTTTCCTTCTGAGAAATGCAATTTCCATACCTCAATTAGTAATACAGTAAATTATTTTTAAGGGGGAATTTCTTGAATTTTGCTAGGAACATTATAAGAAATCACTAATTAGTATAATGCTTTTAACAATTTATATCAACATCTAACAATACGGAAGATAATTTTTAATGTCTTGCCATCTCATTTTTATAAAATATATAAAAAGAAAACTTCATAAAAACTGGCCTTGGGCCTCAATTAAAAACACAAATGGACAGAACATATAACAAGACGGACTTTTTGACAAATCCGAAATACCAACCGGCTGGAGTCGTAACTATTTTCGTAGATGTGCTATTTTTTCCTCTTTTATTTTGTTTAAATATAAAGTGCACAATGGGGCTTCACTTATATGAACACAAGCACTTTATTGTGATGTTTAAGACACATAAGAGTGACTGTTTCTAAAAAAATTCCAACAGTTTGAAATTATTTTTGAAGTTAATAAAATGAATTATAAATACCATACAAATTCAGAACTGCAATAAGACATACAGAAGTTATCAGAAGCTACTATTAGTTCACGAAAATATAATCTGAAAATTTGCATAATATATTGTTAATTTATAAGAGAAATAGCAGAAAACAGTCAAATTAAATATTGAATTCCTTAAATAAATAAGAGACACTTCAGGCAATAAGAAAATACAATATTTTCTAAAATACTCCTTTAAACTACAGTTTTAACATTCATACATTTACTATTTGTAGGCCTAATAAGAACCTAGAGAAGACTTAAATACACTTAAAGATTAATCCCAGCCGCAATTACAGACACAATAAATAGTTTGAGAAAAATTAAGATTTCTCCAACAGGCAGTAAGTTTTTGACACTGACACAAAATGAGAGTGAAGCCCCAAAGTATGTAGCAAATAACACATATAACAACATTATCTATAATGCAGATGAAAATATCAGCTGCTTAAGTAGCACCACTGTGATATTTATCTGCCATTTGTGAGCAACAGGTATTACAGCTTGCTAAACAATGACTTAGTTCAGTGTTAACAGTCTTGCTTGTTTGCTAAGAGACTGGAAGCTGACATGATATATCCGCCATAATTTCATCTGAACAATAAAACAAAACATCTGCTATGACTGCTGCCAATTCCTGGTCCATTACTTGTGACATTACAAGAGAAAGAAGTCGTGGCTGATACCTTATAAACAAACCTTGATTCTCAGGAACTAAGGCTAAATTCTTTAATGTATTGGCAGCTCTTTGAACCATACCTGGAGTAGTACCCATTAGTTCTGGTTTATCTCTCAGTTTCTTTGTACCCTGAGAACTAGCTATTTGGAAAGCATTAGCTTCTGCCTCTTCTATGAAAGCAATGAGATAAGATATACAACGGCTTTGCTCTGCTATGGTTCTGGCTGCTACAGAGTCTGCCTGGGAGATGTTAGAAAGCAATATAACTGCAAATTCACGCATAATCTGATCTTGGCCATAACTAAGAGACTTTGTTAGAAAAGCCAGTAAGTTTTCAATGCGAGACCATGGAGGAGTAGCAATAATGAGATCAACATTGCTTGAAAGCACAGAAAGTTTACAAAGAGCTTCCAAACAAAGTCGCTGTGGCGACAGGACGGAGGACAGTGATCTAGATGGCAGGGGATCTTGAGCATAAGATGATGGACATACAACCCAGTGCAGCAAACCATCCAATATCGGGAGACTTACCTCCTCAGGGAATGGTGACAGGTCAAGATGACCTGATATGTTGGAAAGTATAACAAGCGTATTGTCTCGTAAAACACTGAGTGTGCTCCACCACCATTCTTGTTCATCTTTTAAACTGATGCAAGATTCATTCCAAGACACACTCCCATCAGCTTCTTTTTCATATTTATGATATGCATTTTTTGCTGGTTTGTGCTCATGATGCAAGAGAAGTAGCCTGCCTAATAATAATAAGACACCTGGATTTTTACTCATAACCAAATCATTTCCTGGTACAAAAGATAGGTTTCGAAGAATTGTTGAAACACACACACATCTGCGTGAAAGCATTTCTTGAGAATCATTAATCACACAAAGTGCTGGCTGATCAAAGCAATAAGCTTCATCTTCTAAATCTTCACACAGGAAACGTTTCCGTGATGAAAGAGAGCCTCTCAGTCGTGGAACATTTTCAGATAACTCTGTATCATTAGTTTTCAGAGATTCAACCTTTTCTTTAACTTCATCTATAGCATCACTTTTTTTATTATTCATAATATTTATGGCATCCGTATCACATTTAATTTCTTTTCCCTCATTTAATTCACCACCTGAAATAGAGTCTTCTGAGCTAGCTGGTTTTTCAACTCCATCAATACCATTTTCCCTGTCTTTGTCTCCATCATTTTTATCAGAAATAACATCATCCGATTTCTTACTGAAGTTTGAATTACTTGATTCAATTTCTGGAGCTTCTACAGACTCTTCATCAGATAATGTAAAAGCTTTATCAGCAAGAAAATTGAATTTCTTCAAAACAACAATTGGTTCACCTTTAAATAATAATGACGATTTTAACATATTAGGTTTTTCTTTCAGAAATGAAGGCAGTGACTTCATATCTGATGAAAGCTTTTCACTTTTTAATTTTTTCTCATCACTCAAGTCTCGATGAAATTTAACTTTTTTAGAACAGCTAGCAAAGGAAGTTTGTATATGTGAAGTTATATCACCTCCACCTTTTTGCCAATGCTCAACAGCTACATCAAATCCTTCAAACTTATCCCATGATCTTTGAGGATCAATAAGAAATAATGCTTCATCGTACTGAATTTGAACTGCTTTTTTGCACCTAGTTTTGTATGTAAAATTAGGTGAATCTAATAGTTTAATTTTTCCTTCCCAAGATCCAGTATCATCAGATCCTAGACAGCTTAAGTTGCTGGAAATGTTTTTCTTGTCCAAATCTTCAGAGTAACCAATTTCCACATCATTGGCAAGGTGGAATATTTTGTTCAAAAAGCAACGATAGTGATCTACAAGCACATTGAGTAGACCTGGCAAATGGCTTAGTCCGAAGTAAACTACAGTGTTGTTATCAGCCAACAAAATGGAAAGTGCATCTAAGGCCCATGTAGATTCAGCTAGTAAACCAGATTTTAATGCAAGCATGATTCTCCATGGATCAATTGTACCAAGGCGTTTTGCTGGGCACCGTCTCCGTTTAACTGCAACTGGTTTTATGGCTTCAACTGTATTGGGAGGGAACTCCAACGGTTTTTTAGCCATGGATTGAACAGCTTGGGATGCAGGCAATGACTGAGGCTAAAATAAAAGATTAAAAGAAGTTAATACACTTTTCAAAATTTAAACTAAATATTGTAATTAAAAAATTAGAAAAAATACTCTCATATTGAAAAATTATATGCTAGCAGTATTATTAGCAACAGCAACTAACTACTAAATACTTACTATCCTTTTCCCAACCTCAACAGATAAAAATATCCTGCACTCTTTAAATTGCAAGCAACACCTCAGAAAAGGGATTACCATTGTTTTTTTATATTTAAAAGGTATAAATTATCATAAAAATATTTCAATTTAAAATAATATCTACTTTTCCAAACTAAAAATTTGTTAGAACTTGAAATTTCAAATATCTAATATTTGAATCTCTGTTTCATTAAAAAATTAGTATCAAGAGAAACATCCAAATATTAAAAAAATTATATTGCTATTTTAATGAAATTAAAAAATATCAATGTATGCTTGAAATGTATATTATAACAAAACTTCATCATAATCATCAGATTTTATTTTAGATGCAGATGAAAACGATGATTTTATTTTACATGAATTAAGATTAAACATTTTACAATCAAACTCCTACATGGCATTAAAAACCTATTTTATTTATGATATTCATGATAAAATTTATGGTTTTTCCCTACGTGTAACATGGATACAGGCCAGTTTCCTTTAAAACGTCCTCCACTGGTATTCCTAGCTTTCCGTTTAGTTCCTAAAGGCACAGCACATAATAAAATTAAACAAAAAGATAAGGTTTCCATGAGATATTACTAAGAAGTCCTGAAAAAATGACATTATAAATAACTTCTATTTTCCCTTATAGGCAACAGTCTTTTATATCATACATAATCGAAAGAACCACTGCCATTTGGCTACAATGTTAATTAATAAGGGATATGACTTAGTCATAACTGAATGCAGCCACACTTTTTGACATGGTACAAAAATCCATTATTCTTCAATTATTTTCTGAATAATTGTCTCTAACTATGTGTAAATTTGCATATTTTTAAACTAACTTTTAAGATACTTTGGCTTAGCATTAATTTTATGAATTTAACATTAAATTTTGACTTTCATATACATATATATCACTGGTAGACAATTTCTAAGGATAGATCGTAAACAGCTATATAATAGCACATTAAGTGTATTTGGATGCCAAGTGAAATAAAATAATACCAGAATACTAAGACATAACAATAAAAATAATTTATTGTGCTCTAAAATCTAGAAGGCTTTGAAAAGTGTTAAAGACATAAAATGGTTATACTGTGCTGAATATGTAAAAATGAAAAAAATGCAGTTACCATCCACAGGCATTCTGGCATAATATGTCAATTAGGGATATGGTCACCATGGAGAGCAATGTAAGATTCCACACACTCTATCATATTTTGCATCACATTATCTAACAGCTGTTGGAACAATTTATCCCATTCCTGTCATGTACAGATGAGGATGTCCTTGCTTATTGGAGGGCACTGTTGACCAGAAAGACTTCACCCCAAAGCATCCCGAACATTTTCAATGAGATTCAGAATGTGCTAGCCATATCAGGCATTGAATATCCTTGCTCTTTTAGATACTCCCTGGACAGTGGCTGTTCAATGACATGTTACACTGTCACTCATAAAATGAAATTTCTCACCAACAGCACGACAGAACATGAGGCAGCAGAATATCATTAACGTATCGTTGGCCAATCACAGTCCCAGCTACAACCACGTTTAGGGGCATGCGGCCATTGATCATATTGGTGGCCCATACCATGGTACTGCATCTCAGATACCGGTCCTTTGTTGGATATTTTCTGGACAATAAGCATTACCACTCTCAAACCACATCAGTTGGCATCTATAAGCTGGTACAGATTGAACCATTAAGAATAATACACAAGCCATGTTCTATTGAGTTTAATTACAATGCTCGCGATACTATTGCAAAGGGGCGGTATGTTGCTGTCCGGGCAACGAAATGCACACAACAGTATGGTGGGCATATAGTCCTCCAAAAATCTGGCTACATTTTTTTTTGGAAGATTCACTCTCCAGTAGCAGCAAACAACTAATTTGCTATCTCAACAGCTATGCAGAGCTAGCTCCTTTTTGTTGATAGCACTATGTACCCATCTTTTGCAGGTGCTGCATTGTGAACTTGACCTTCTCCATGACATTTGCTACACATTCTATTTGTTTGAAATGATTTCCAAAGCCTTGAAACAACACTGTGGCTGATGTTAAACTCCTAAGCAACATTTGTTACTTTTACCTTTTTTCAACGTTACCAATAATACGGTTGCGTGTAAAATCATGTATGTGAATATCAGGAAGATATACTGGAAATTGCAAGTTCTCCAAATGAATCTTTCTTGTTAACCATTTGAGTCCAGTGTGCACTTCACTTGTCGTATGTCAAAAATACGGCACAGCGCGATAGCGCTTCTCTTGTTTTGCATCGAGAATGCGAAGACGCTGCTGTTGGTTAGTATACTTGAAAAAAAATTATTGAAATATTCAACTGGTTTCGTATCAGGAGGAGGGGAATGCTTTGGTCCAGGTACTTCAGGAAAAGTATTCGATTTGTTCGAAAAAATTGTATCCACGCATCAATAATATCGTCATCAGAGGTACTTGCAGTTACTTCATCATCATCACTGCTATCACTAATAACTCGTAATCTCTTAGAACGAATGGTGATGTCACTTCCACTATCACTTTCAAGGTCATTACTATACTCTTCATTATCACTTCTCATAACAGTCACTTTCAAATGAATCAGATCTTGACATGGGTTATTTCGTAATTATCAGTATAACACTTGGTAAAAAAATGAAAACAATTTCCAATTCCTTTAAAACAACTGCTACTGATATCACTACAACTGCTCTCAATAATTGCGTAAAGTATACTAACCAACACCAGTGTCTTCACATTCTCGATACAAAAGAAGAGAAGCGCTTTCGCGCTGCGCCGCATTTCCGGCATACGACAAGTGGAGCGCGATAGCGCTTCGCCGGACTCAAACAGTTACAATTTTGCTTTTGAACAACAAAGGTCAGTATGCATCAAATCTTTTATCTCTTTTCTCAGACATAGGCCGTGACGAAAAACAGCAATCCAGAATTAGCATATGCACAACATACCTTACTGTATCCTACACTTATGCTAATCTCCATATTTTCTTGCCTTCAATTTCACAGTTGCTATCACTGCTGCTGTCATCCACCCTTAGCAATTGTTCATATACATATATATATATTGTAAGATATAACATAATATGATGGCTGCTTAAAAAATAATTAGTGATCTCAAAATTAACTATTCTAGATTTGGTGCTATCCCTGTAAATTCATCTGTTCTCCCAAATTCAGGATCTTTCCATGCTATATAAACATTGCTTGAAAAATGAAACTAAAACCTCAAATTAACCAATCACAGGTTAGAGTACTTTCCGCATCTATTCAGTATAAAAACTGCTCGCAAATGAATTACGTAAATCCATTCATTCCCTTAAGTGCTGCTCTGCCAACACTGCACTGCATTGCTTTGCAGATGCCTATGTCTTACTTTTAATCAGTGTACATAAAAATGATTGTAAATGAAATATGATTGGATAAATTCCTTGTCCACAAAATTCATCTGATATGAATTATAAATTGAATAAAATTATATTTTGAAACGTCTACATATGAAAATTTGTGGTTTATGCATTCAAATGCTCATTGCATAATTATTACCCAAACCTGTAAAGAAGGTAATAGTTGGATGGCTACGACAGAGGATTTAATGTGAATATGTAATTAAGAATATTATCATTCTCTATGTAAATATGCTAGGCTTTAATTTACTACTTTGATACATAAAACGTACTTTCATACATTTAATTAAAATTCTGGCATTGCTTTCCTTAAAGTAACGAAAACAGCATTTTTCAATTTCTTAAGATATTTTTGTAGCTCGATTATGTGAAGATTTTTGCCTTATTAAACACAACTTCCGTTTTCCTGAACTTTTGGCCATAATTTACACGTAAGATTATTGTGTAGGGTGACACAACCATCATTAGTTGATTTCAAACGTGACCCTGAAAATAAGATGCCATTTTCTCGTTCAACTTTTTGCCTCTCCACAGTTTTCACACAATTACACACTCTTCTAAATTTCAAACAACAGCATGACCTCCTAGAAAGTGTGGGCTTAATTGATTGTTTTTCATTCATTTCCATTTGTTGACCAAAGATGCGATTCCAATTTTGGAACCACTTTTCTCAGTTTCTGGTACACCTACCAGCCAGGGTTCTCAAATCTTTAGGCAACCCTTTTTGCAAGTGTTGTTTCTTAACTCAGGGGTTGCACTCAAACAGGAAAATGAAATTTCCCGACTTTTCCAGGTTTCCCAGGTAGGTGTGTTTTTAAAAAAATTCAGTCTATCCGCGTAATGTGCATTGGCTGTGCTGAGAGGTAAACTAATTATAGTAACACATGAAAACACAAAATTTTACACACACGCACACACACACACACATATATATACAATAATACATAATCCCCATAGCATTACTATTATAACTACAATAGGAGTTCTTTTCTCCACTGAAGACAGAGATTAGAATCTGCCCAATCTGAATTTAGAAATTTTTTTTTTTTGGCACACATTTTGCAACTAAATGAAAGAAAGACATCTGATGATATTTTAAAATAAATTCAGGTATTTTATATTTATTTAGCAGCACACATAAGCAAAAAATATGTGCATTAAATTTTGTGACAGTATGTCATCATACTGCCAGAATTAGTTTCAGGATTACGCTAGAGAAAATTGCCTGAAATTTGAAAGGATTATTAACTAATAATAAATAAATTTAGAGGGAAGAATCCACATTAAATAGTATGAATAACATTAAATTAAAGTTAAAATATAATTACAATAATCAACGATGTTTTGGCAAATAGTTAAATTAAATGGGTAGACTAGATGACTGATTACTATTTTTTTTTTTTTTTTTTTTTTACAGCAAAATGACAAGGCATTTATTAAAAGAACAAAAAAATGGTTTAAAGATTTTGCGGTAAAATCCTAGTACATGCTACAGCCTCTGAAAAAGTATGATATATTACAATATCTGCTTAAAACAAAATATCCTTTAAAAAAAAACTGTTAGTGGAATAGGAGCCAATTTTAATTACCTACAGCTGGCAAAGTTTACTAGACTGTAAACTTGGTAAAATGTTAAGGAGGTCTCTGATGTCCACTAATGAGACGCACAGAGGGTGCTAGCTCTCAGTCTGAAAGGGGCCAAAAGTCTTAGTTTTCCAAGAGGGAGACCTACAGAGGGTTCAAAAAAGGGAAGGCTAATGGGGGCAATCAGGGAAAACAAATTTACCCTGTTTTAATGTACACATTTCAGCTATTAGTTATGTAGTTTGTAATCTAGTGTGTAGGTTTATTTGTGTAATAAACATTTAAAAATATGAAAAAGTGTGGATAATTTCTTTGATGAGGCAAGAAGTAAACTGAGTGACATTACACTCTTACATTTGTGAAACCAGAGATGATTAAATGACTGCAGAGAAATTTCCAAGAAAAGCGGGTAGGAGCCTCTTGATATGATTTTACTTGGAATATAAATTTATTTACGAAAATCAAATGTTTAAGAATACTAAAAAAATAAATTAAAATAAAAATAAATAAATAAATAAATTTAGTAGCACTTCTTGGTGAAATTGAAGATACACCAACTGCTGGTTTAACAGTTCAAATAAAAGATAAAATTGAGGAAAGTAAAATTCTTAAAGATGATCCACAATTTGAACCCAGACTATTAAATTCAATAGTTCAGGAACGAAAAATCAGAGAAGCAAACAAAATAAAAGCTAGGGATACACAATTAGCCTTAAGAGCTCAAAAGGTTGAATTTGAGAAACTAATAGTAGTGCAACAAGAGATAGAATTGGAAAAAATCAGAAGTCAAAACACTGTTAAAGATGAATCTCACATGGATAAAGATGTCATTATAGGTTCTGTAAATTATTTCGAATATCCGATAAAAAGGTGGTAAAACTTTAAACATTCCATTCACGTGAGGATTGAAAAAATAGTTTTTTTTTTCAAACACTGGAGAGAACATACATTACCAAAAATGTGCAACAGGAGCTTAAATCGGAAATAATTGATTAAAAGTTTAAGTGATAAGGCAAATAACATTGTTTATATTAACGATTAAGAACTAAAATGTTACGAAACCATTAGAAAATTAGCATCAAATGAATATCAACCAACTGCTTATGAATATTTAATGAATTTTTGAAAAGGACGACATGATCCCAGAATCATATGTTCAGTTCACATCTAGATTATCTGCAAATTTCCAATATTACTGTCAAATGGGTGAAGTTAAAGACTTTGATACATTGTGTCTACTAATGATTTCGAAAATTAGTTAAAACCTAAGGAGTTAGCTAAAGAAGTTGACCTATATTTTGTAAACAAAGGCAAATCGTTAAAAGAAAACAACTTTTAATACTAATGAAAATATAGCTAAGTCACTCCAGTCTTCAACAGAATGGAAATGTATCCTGCCTTATGAGAAACAATGTAAATAAAAATATCAGCCCAAAGACTTATACAGTACAAAGTCTGTAGTCCGAATGTCCATTATCCGGAATGATATATAATCTGGACCTCAAAGACACAAACTATTTTTGGTATGATTTACGCATGCGCACTAATGCGCATTTAAGCATGCGCGTTGGGAGGATGTGTCTCCAGATACGTTAAAGAATGCTTGGCATAATTTATTGACAGCTGCCATATTTCATTGTGAGGACGATGAAAATGACAGCCGCGAATTCGAAGGTTTTCGCACATCGCAAGCTAAAGGTGAAATTTTCCAGCTATTGGATTTCGTAAAGAAATGTGGAGAAGCGGTAATAAATGAAGATGATATAACAGAAGTTTTTCATTGAAATGACAATGCACCAATAATCAATCAACTAACAGATGGCAAAATCTGTAGTATGGTTCTAGATCCAGAAAATAACGCTTCCAATAGGTGGAACTTTGTAACTGAACAAGAAATTATGTCTGTTTATAGAATTAAAAAGAAAGTATTAGCACACACACACACACACACACACACAACAAAAAAAAAAAAGCAACTTAAACACCTTACATCGAAAGAAATGTTTAATAAAGTAAACATATAAATATTAAGCTTTTTTTTGTAAATTTTGATACCCTTTAGATCATACCTGCTCTTTATTTCATAAATTACGGTTTCATATTTTTAATTGTATAATTTCTGTATGCCATTTTACAAGATTTAATTTGATTATCTATAATCCGGAAAAACCCCTAATCCGGAATCGCTGAAGTCCCGATGAGTCTGGATTACGGACTTTGTACTGGATATGTAATGTTGAACTGCTGCACATATGCAACTAAAGAACTGTGATTATTATTAAACTTCAATTAGCCTATAATGAAGGAACATGGAACAAGAAATTATCTGAAAAGTTAACTTTAAATTCTCCACTTTAATGAAATGAAAGAAAATTTCTTACATATTAAAGCTCTACCATATAACTGCATTTGGCAATGCAGCATTATTTTGCAGTGATCCAAAATTTCAAATTCTGTCCCAGAATTTGGCTTAGGCAACTGAAAATTAAACATTTGTTTTCTTTCTGTTTAATTAAAAAGAATTTAGCATGTAAATTGCCTTGGTTCCATATTTTTTTAAATGCACTGAATTAGCTGCATTTTTTCCAACCAATTTAATGTTTTTAGCTTGAAAAACATTTCTTCTTAGAGCTGGCCGGGGGAGGGGACTACACAATACACCATTCAATAAAGTACATTATACAAGAAAATGTATGCAAGTTTAATGTGCTAGCTAGTATTCATATGTCAGGACCTGAATTTTATATTTGTGGAAAACTTATCAAACAATATTTATGTCTGAGAAAAGTATTTTTAGATATAAGTAGAAATACTAAATAGCTAGAAAAGTGAAAACTAATACAATCATCAAAACCTTTCCTGTAAAAATAAATATAATACATTTTACAAGGCTAACCTGTGATTTATTTGATGTACTGCTTTGGGTAACAGATGCTGTATTTTGAAATTTTGCTGGAGCTTGAGTTGTAGGTTGATTATTCAGCCATGACTTTCTCACTCTGGCAGTCTCTGGATTTTGTTTCGCATCTGATGCTGTCATTTGAGTTTTCAAAGGTGGTCTTTGCCCTGCATGTGGATGATAAGTATACTGATTTTGTTCTGGAAGCCATGCTGAGGAAATACATTAATAAGAATAAATATGTCCATAAAATAAATATATGTAAACAAAACAAAATAAAAAGATTTTTTATAACAGAAAATGGGAAAATGCTCTAGAATAAATAAAGAAATAATCAAAATAAAAAAAATTAAGATACGCATACACTACATTCACGCCAAAAATTACCTTTTACATATACCAAATCATGGATTTCTGAAAAACTGAATTATCATAAAATTGATACTATGTTATAAGAAGAGTTCAGAGGGAATAACTCAGAATAAAATTAAAGCATACGAATTTAACATAGAATGTGGTCTCTCAATTTGTACTCAAATATCGCAATGTGCTTTCATGGTAGCAATAATATTGCTAACCACAGTCTGAGGAATTATGTTCCACTTCTCCAGCAATCTGCTATTCAGGGCATTCACACCTCTAGAAGGAAACTACAGTGGATGGACAAAAATATGGAAACACCTTGTGAAATGCATGTTTGAAAAGAAAGATTGATTTTAATGAAATATGTAGGTGACGCTGGCGTTTTTGACTACTGACGCCACCTATACAACTTCGTAAATGTGCTAAACAGTTCAGTTGTTGTCGGAGTACTGTTATGTGAGGTTGTCATTGTATTATGTCAGAGTTAACAGACGAGGTGTTTAATGTTTCAAGAGGTACTGTATCGAAGATTTATTCCGCATTATTGAAAAGCGGAAAAAACATCATCTGCTAAATCACAGCGCGGACGAAAGTGTGTCCTAAGTGATCGTGACAGATGATCATTAAGGGCAATTGTGACGAAAAATAAGAAGACCACAGCTGCAAAAGTTACTGCTGAAATGAATGTTGTGTTACCAAACCCTGTGAGTACCAAAACAATTAGAAGGGAGCTTCATAAACAGGGAATTGCTGGCCGTGCTGCAATTGAGAAGCCACTCATCAGTGATGCTAATGCCCGTAACAGGAAAAGGTGGTGTTTAAGTCATAAAGCCTGGACTATAGAGCAGTGGAAGCGAGTAATATGGTCTGACGAGTCTTCTTTCACATTGTTTCCCACTTCTGGTCGAGTTTACGTCTGGAGAACGCCATCTCAAGCCTATAATACTGACTGCTTGTTGCTAAGAGTGAAACATGCCGGGGGTTCTGTTATGGTTTGGGCAGCCATATCGTGGTTCTCTGCTAGCCACATGATAACTGTGTCAGGGCACATGACTGCCAAGACTTATGGAACATTTTGGCCGATCAAGTTCATCTCATGGTAAAAACTTTGTTCCCCGATGGTGATGGTGTCTTCCAAGACGACAAAGCCCCTTTTCACACAGCTCACATTGTCCAGGACTGGTTTTCTGAGCACGAGGATGAGTTGTCCCATCTCCCCTGGCCACCACAGTCACCAGACCTGAATATTATCGAACCTTTGTGGTCTACATTGGAATGGAAAGTGCGTTCTCGTTATCCACCGTCAACATCGTTATCTGAACTCGCCACCGTTTTGCAGGAAGAATGGTATAATATTCCCTTGGCAAACATATAGGAACTGTATTTATCCATTCCGAGAAGACTGCAAGCTGTTTTGGATGCCAATGGGTTTCCTACACCATATTAAGCAAAGAAACATGTTTTTTTAAAGGTGTTTCCATATTTTTGTCCAACCCCTGTATCTCTGTGCAACTGGTTTTCTGTAGTCCTGCAAGTTCTCGTTCAGATCAAGACATTTTGCTGTCCATGCTACTCACTGCACGCTTTCACTTTCAAGGAATTTGTCAACGAGGTTTGCATGTTCTAGATGAATATTATTGACTATGAATAAAAAGTCAGACACACATACACCCTTGAAAAGTCTTACATAAGGTTCCAGACCTTCATCCTCTCGCCAAATAGGTAAAATTATTAGGTACATTATGCTTACATACAAAACCAAAGTTAGAATGAAGTTATGATAAACAAACACTAAACATACTTACGAAAGAGCTAGCATTTTATTTAGGAAAAAAAATATTTTAGCGATTGTTTTTATTTCTTGGCATTTATGAGATTTTTCTCATTTATGCATAATAAAAATATTATTAACCCCCATAAAATATTTATGTTTTAAAAATTCATTTTACCTTTTCTAAAAATTTCTCCATACAGGTAATATTATAGACATTAAGCTTCCATACTTTATGGATCTATGATATGTATTCCTTTAGCTGTTCTTAAATACTATGTCAACAAAATTGTACAACAGGATTAAAGATTTTTTAATCACGCAAAAGAAAAAAAAAAAGATATAAGGCATTATAAACTACATCAAAGGAAACAAAATATTCAAAAGAAATGTGTACAAATAAAAGGTGACAATGTTGATAAATTTTAAAGAAAAATGGAAAGCTGAATAAAGAAGCCCCAAAATGATTATTTCATGCAAGTTTAAAGGGAAAAAAAATTGAAACATACCTCTTTGTGGTCTGTTACCAAACTGATTACAATAAACTGTATTATTAAATGGCTCCTTACTACTTCCTTGTTGTGTACCATATGCGTTAATCTTTGGTGTGACACGACTGTACTGATAGGATTTTGAACTGACAGTTCCATCATGAGAAGACAGATTTCTGCTTTGATCACCCTGTAAAAAGAAGTAACTAAAATAAGCTTACTCTTAACTATAATGAAATGATATTTTAAGACGTTTTAGATTATCAGATGAGATAATTCTTTTGAGTTTAAATGAAAGTCTTTTTCAAATAACTTCAATAAAATTTAGTATAAAGAAACAACAACAACGAAAAAAAAGGGGGGGAATAAACTTCAAACAACTTGGTATAAAACACACTACAAAAATGAAGCATAATTTTTAATATATTATATATCAAACCCCAAAGTGTATCCAAATGTTTATTAATTTATGTAAGAACATAAAAATAAATCAGAGAAAACTACCAAAATCTGTTACACTAATACTTTCACTGGTTTACACAAATTTTGCATGCAATAATTTGTTTACATGCTACAATGGGAAAATACAATGAAACATTACATGATAATAAAATCTCCAATATCCGAAATAGTTAATTGTGTTGAAAGAAAAGAAATTATTCATAAATTCAATAACACTCTAAAACCCACACAGTAAATGCTAAAAATACTGTGTTTTCGAACTTCCAAACTTGCATTCGTGCATGTACAATGACAAAACACAACTGCTGTTTATTTCAGCAATAAATTCTATTGCAGATTTCCTTAAAATCTACCAGTGAACTTGATAAAATATGAATCTTTGACTAAATTTCTTCAACTTTTATGAAAATGAGATAATAATGTTAAGTACAAAGAAAACTTATCTAAATTTCATGATTATCTATATGAAATACACCCAGCACACAATAAAAAACTTACATTCACGAGTGTACACAGTTCTTAAGATGGTAATCTTTCAAGTTAATAATTATTTTACTTGCTAATGAATAAGCTCTTGATATAGTTATTCTCTGGTGAACATTCTATAATTCAAAATGTTCAAGTATTAAATATATGGAAGCTCCATTTTGATAGCTATACTATTAACCCCTTCTTGGTGAAAACTTCTATTGTTGAAACTGAATTCATCGCCACTCACATGTCGCTTTAAAATTCTGCGATCTTTTTGTATTTCTGAAAATATTGTTAAGAGATAGCGTAACTAGTCCTAGTTTCTTCACAATTTTCGCAGTGAGGTTTCCTGTCTTGAATATAATGTTATTAAATATCCACGTGATATCTGTTAGAATTTCAACTGATAAAGTAAGCAAGAATTTTTTTTTATTAAATAAATGATTTTGGTTTTGTGATAAATGTGGTTTTTATGCTCTGAAGTCCAAGGCAAGCTGTAAAGCTGTTTTAATGGTAAGGTTGGAAATCCATTTTCTAAAGCATTTTTTACATAATTTTAATAATTATTTTTATGTAGATATTTATACTAAACATATAAAAACAATAGAGTTAATAAATATAGTGTCATACTGTATTTTCTTAAGTTTAAAACTTGGGTGCCTTGCAGGGAAAACTGGTGACCATAGGACACGATATCACATATTTGACCACCTGTAGGTCCAACAAAACCTGCTTACTGTCAAAAAAACTTTCCCATTTTTGAATTTAGGATAGAACATATATTAATTTTCAGCAATAAATGTTTTTTTGGGGATCAGACATTCGAGGGGAAAAAAAAAAACCAACCAAAGGGGTTACTGTAAACAGTTAAACTGCTACTTTACTGTCATTACTGCATTATTTATTTTCATTTATTAACAGAAAATAATAATACCTAATGCATGCATTAAAAACTAAAATGAAAAATTGTCTGTGTTTGCCCTTGGACTTCATTTTCATTTAAGTCAGAAAGAATGCTTATGATTCATAACTCCCTGGAAAAAACATATTTCTTGATTTTAATCCTCTGAAAGATAGCAAAACACTTTTAAAATAATCAGAAATTGTTTAGGTACTTCACATGCACTACACAAAATCAAAACCATGCTTTATAAACACTAAACATATAATAAGCTAAGTTAGAACACATATTTTTACAAAATTTGGAAAAGAAAATGACAAAGGAAATCTGAAAGCCTGACACATTATTATAGTAGAGATACAGGCAAAAATGGGTGGGACACCAGAATTTCAGCATTGGTCGCCCAGGCAGTCTCACTACATTAATTGTGCAGTTCTGACCCGAGTTCAGGGGAATGTTGGAGGGGCTGTTTGAGTGTCTCCAACACATCTTCCCCTACCACCAATTCCTTGAGAGGACATTCAGCTGACATGCATTTTGAGTGCCCCCTTGCCACACAGGTACTTTATGCTTCCAAACAACCAAGCCTTCGCCAGGAATCAAACACGGGTCCATCGATATGTCAGTCAGCATAACTACCCACTATACTATTTGGGCAGCATATTATGCAGTAGCAATATCATAAAAAAAAGGATCTGATGAAGTATATGCTTTAGTAGTGAAACTGAACAAAGGTACTCCAGCAACGGCCCCACCAATGGTTGAGTGATTAAGACTGCTGAATTGTGGATTTAACAAAAGTCCAAACTGAAGTGAATAGGCTGGCAGAACAGGAAGGCATCCCTTAGGCAGATAGCCTTCAGGTGCTACGTTATATTCATATTACCATAACCTACATAAGCATTACTAACATTATGAGTAATTCTATAATAATGGCCATGCAATTGGAAATCATAGCTTTGTTGCATTATTACTAATAAATCTAATCAAAAAGGAAACAAATTATATGTAATGGGGAGATGATTATTACTCATTTATTTATACTTTACTAATGTAACAGTGGCTGGCTGCATAGGTATTTGGTGATTTTCCTTATGTGTAACATGAAAAAAATTAGCCAGATGCAGTCAGAAAGTCTTCTATCAAGGATACTGCTCTTTAAACCAGCAGCTCTAATGTGCTGTATCATATTTAATATATCCTTACACAGCAGAACTTGTCCAAAAGAAATTCAAAAAGGATTTCAGCTTTTCTATATCATACTATAATCATTAAATTCATCATGATTATTCTGAGAGGTTTCACAGAAAATGTTTATTTGCTGCTCCATATGTTATTGATATATAAAACAAAATTATGCCAACAGTGTTTGGGTAAGATTTTATATCCTGATTAGAGCACAGATGTTTGTTATTCTAGTATCGTTTGTGGTAAGCATCACTGAAAAGTTTTTCAGCCTTAAGTCTTTTAAGGTGGTTTTGGTAGGGAGAGAAAAATAATAAGACACAAATTCTATCCTCAAGCCCTTATCAAAACTAGAATAGAGGTTAACCACTTGCGCTACGACTAAACTTCACGGTTGCGGTGCCGTGTGCTACAATATAACAAGCGGTAAAGTGTCTTATCTACGCCGCTCTGTGTCTGCGAGTGAAATCCAGAGCTGTAACTCGAGAAATAAACAATCTCGTTGTTAGGCGACATGTGCACCACGTTATTTTCATTTTTGCGATAAATGCCTATTGACACTGTGTTCATGTCGCTCGCAGTTTGAGACAAAAGCATCTCGACGTGCGTGGCACGTCTTTTTAGTGCAAGTGGTTAAGCACAGTCTTTGTGTGTTTGGCATAAATTACACAATTCAGTCAATCCCATTTTATAAAAAGGTAACATTGATTTGTGTAAAAGCTTATAATTAGGAAATTTCACAAAACAAAGAAAATGTATACAGACCATAAAGGTTTTTTAAGCATGTTTTCTGCCGACTGAAAAGATAGAAACCTTCATTAAAAGGCTATTGTACTCTTACAGAAATCAAGTTTCTAATCTGGAAAAAGCAAACTTAATAAGGGTATCACCACTTTTACGCTAGCACATAACAATGAAAGCTCAATTTTTGATGGTTTTACTGACTGATGAATTAACAGGAAATGAATTTAATCCACAGCACTGTACAGAAAGGGAATGCCTAAATGACAAGGCACTGTTATGAAAACGTATTCTATACACTCACTTAAAAATTTCCTCTCTTATCAGAATTATTTTCTTTTATCTGTTAATTTCATACAGAAAAATAAAGATACTTTAAAATATTTAATACTGAAAACTATTAAAAGAGAAAGATAGAAGCATGTTTACAAATGAAGTGTTGCTTTTATAACGAATATAAATATGTTTCATACTTATTACTTTAGCAGAATTTGTGTGAAAAAAGCCCCAAATCCAATGGAATTCACATAAACCAAGTATGCATGCAATATGATTATAGTTCTTATTATCTATTTCAGAATTACAGAGCTTTTTTTTCTTTTATAATTAGAATAAAAAACGAGGGAAAATTTAAATAAAAATTGGTTAAGTACTTTCTTTTATAAATTATCACCTTAACATGGTAGAGACATCAGATATTTTTGGAAGCAGACGAGATGAAGAATTAGCAAACGCCTTTGCTGGGAATCGAACCCCGGACCTCTGGAATACCGGCCCCGCGTGCAAAACCACTACACTACGAAGGCACGCTAGGAAAGTGGGTGTAATACCTTATATACTCCCCTTTTTAAAGGGTGACTGGGGTTTTTAGGGGACCCAGTCGCCAAATCTTGGGTGTGGAGAATCCTCATCCAACACCCTTTTAGTTCAGGCGGCACTGTAGAGACATAAGGATTTTTTGGAAGCAGAAGAATTGAAAAAATAGCAAACGCCTTCGCCGGGAATCAAACCACGGACCTCTGGAATACCGGCCCAGACCGCAGAACCACTACAACACGAATGAACGCGAGCAAAAGTGAGAGAAATACCTTATAAACATTACAGCAAAACATTTTCCTATAGGTCAGCTTCCAAATGAAAATTTGTAAAATATTAATCAGTAATTTTCATATGCAACCTTTTTTAAAATTTTGTCATTTGTTTTCCAAAATTATATGGGAAAATTCCTTTCATGTAAGTTTTATATAAATTTTGACTACAAGACCACTGAGCTTAGGTGAAACCGAAAGAAAAATAATATTCAACTTGATTTTCTTCCAGTGTAATGGCTCTATCACTTCTAGGGACGCGCGCGCTTACCCGGGACAATTCCGAGAAACCAGATTCTAGTAGCACTGCTTTAAGCGGGAGGCTTCCGAGAAATGTTTCGTCTAGCTGGGAGGAACATGTCCCGGCTACAAGCAACATTTTAAAACTTGTCAGAAAATGTTCCGGCTGGAGACGTGTTCCTCGAATGTTCACCAATCAGACGAAAGTTCTGCTTCTGAAGGATAGAGGGTAACTTTCAATATGGCGATGGCTATCACTGTGAAGTCATGGACGGTGGAAATAGAGGCTGTTTTAATTATTGCTGTTTTGTTGTAATACAACTGCCCGAGTCATTTTTTTAAATGTGTATATATTCATTAAATATATAATCGTGGAAATTTCAGAGTTGACAGTATTTTACGACGTTCCTGCTGTTTGGATTTGTTTACAAATTGTTCGTTGCCAAATTTTCGTATTTTGTGCTGATCGTGTATTATCACTGTTATATAACAGAATTTTATTTCTTAAATTTAAGTTGAATAATTTTTTAAATCCGTTTGTATATGCGCAGTTTTTCTCCTAATTACTTATCTTTTAAATTGTTAATTGCATAATCAGTGACACATTTTAAACAGCATAAAAGATGCATAAAAAAGAAAAGCATAGCTTATGTAATAACGAGAATACTCATTAAATTTGTCTATTATTTTCATGTTATTAATGAAATACTTTTTGGATTATAAATACATTAGAAACTATACTTTTATTATAAATGCTACATATTGAAACATTGGAAATTTATGGATTTATTATTATGCATGATGAAAATATTTTGTATATACATTCATTAATATAAATCTTATTCATTACATTAATACTAATAAATATATATTAACAAACTTCTAAACCATCGCATCTCTCTATCTGTATGTAAATATATGACTTATTAGATGTGTATTATATGTATGTATTAATACAAAAATGAACATATTCAAGAAGTTTAAAGTTACTTTTAATTCAGATAACAATTATGTAATTGGCAGCAACTATAGTTATCAGTTCTTTGCAAATTATTATGGGTATGTAATAATGAGTTGAAAAATAATTGATGAGTATTTGAGTACTAAAGAGTGTACACATTAATTGTACCATTGTAGTTAAATTCATAATGGTGCATATCATGATGTATTGATCTTACGTAATAAAAACATGACTAATAAATCGAGGGATAAGAAATGCCTAACAGCTGGATGCATTTCTAACATTTGATTTACTTTAAAACAGTGCACAACTGATTATCACCTTCATGTCTGTTTACATAATGGAATTGCACTTTCCAATTAAGTGCACGGGCCTACTAGCGGCCAAAGTGTCGTTGAACACTGGTAGTTCTGTCTCAGGTTAGAATGCCGCGAACGGGCTGGCTACATGACGTTTCCTTGGTTTGCCCCATTTGTAACTGGTATACGAGCCAGTTTTAAAAATCTTCTATAAAGGGATCCCTCCTGTTAGGCAGATATCCCTCGAGGCTTTGCCGTAATCACATAAAACAAACTCATGATGTGCACCACCTAATTTCTAGAGTTGGTATAATTAATGTGTTTTAGGTGTATTACCGAGTGTTCTATGGGACAGTAAACAACTCACACATGTTTGATTGCTCATGTATTTATATGCTTTATTTGATCTTCATTTTGCCGAATAGTATCTACTGGCTGTGAGGATGTAAATATCAGCCATATAGACTTTTGTCATAAAAATGTCTTTTTTTTTTTTGTTGTTTTGTTTTGTTTTGAATGGACAGAACAGTAATTATGAGCCATAAAGTTGGTCAAGGTCAGAAGGTGGTCACCAGGTCACAAATTTTCCAGTGAGCCATCAAATTTTCATTGCAATGCAGACAACAGAAAATACACATAAATAATGTCTGATAAATAGACTTATCCAGCACATGTTTTAAACTACTTTTAGTGTATACAGAATTTGGCTATTACTGATGTAATTGATTACTATAACCAGAAGTGTGTTTATCTGTTACTTGAAGTGCCAGAGTGGAGATCAAAGTGATTAACTTGATAGCAATCACCTTTCTATTATCTTCCATTACTAACAATAAAGTTTAAAACGAAAAGCGTGTGAGCAATACAAAACAACACGAAGAAGCAAATGTCATTTGAAAGGAAACGTCACTTTCGCTAATCTGAGCGATAACTGATTCTTGTTTGGCTTTCAGCCTGTTTACCAAGTGAAGGTGATAACCCTATTTCTCCAAAGGGCGTTTCTCAGAACTGTTGCTGCAAACGTTTTGTTCCGGAAACAAATATCATATGCGATAAGGGTTTAACTCAGGAAGATTGCCTAACACATTTAAAAGCGATTTTCACTTTTAATTCATCCAATTGCCCATTCAGGCTATCTTATGGTCAACTTTGTGTTACACATGTGTTATACATTACACAAAATAAAGAGCCCCAAAAGGACTATTTTAATGCTAAAATTTAATTATTATTATTCGCAAGCTTGGAAGAGTACTCCAAAATTACTTTGAATGCAGTATTTTCTATATTTTCATAAGCCAGATTCATTTCATATACTATTATTATCACACAGTTATTTTATATGTAGTTTTTATGGCAGTCAAAGGTATCAAAATTATGTGAACATTTAGTTTATTGTTACACAACTTTCACTAGTATTACACAAACATTTTTACCTGTATTGCAGGAGGACCTTCTGATCCTCGATATGATTCATTTTGAGTTTCAGTATATCTACCATACTGACTGGACTGGACTTGATCTTTGTTCTGGCAGTCTCCCTGGTAAGGCAGTTTCTGATTTGGATAAGGACTCTGAGCCTGATTTATATAAGAATTTTGATTACAATTAGGATACGAAACTGAAACTTGATGAGAAGTAGCAGTTGTGTCAGCATAATAATTGACATCAGTCACAGAGTTCAATGAACTGAAATTGAAAAGAAAAAGGTATTTGTTATGGATATAAATAGTACCTGTTTTTTCATCAATATTAATTTAAAATATCATTAAATAAGTAATGCATTAGGGAAAAAGTATACAAGAAAGAAATTATCATCCATATAGTTTTAAAGATGAACAGGACCAAGGTGAAACAGTTATATTTTAGTATTTGAAATACAGTTTAATGAAAGAAATTCTTAAACAATACCTTTAAGCAAAAGCAAATAGGTAAGACAAACTAAAATGTATAGCCTTGAGTATACAAACAACAATAAACTGCAATGATCGCTACTTGAATGACATATATTAACCTCTTCGCTTCCAGAGTATCGAGTATGTTGATATGCTCCAGTTTTCCTCCATATGCAAATCACATTAAAACCCCTTAACTGCTGCGGGCGTATATATATATATATATATACACACACCCTTCGAAATACTATCATTTGCTTTGCGTTGCTACCCATAAAATTATTCGCAAAGCTTTGGAATACCACAATGACCTTGACAAAGTATGCGAAGGAGAATACTACGTAGGTAAGTTGAAAAATAAGTTTCCCCTGTTGACTGTGGTCAGAGTTGTGTATGAAAGTCAAAAAATAAAATGAGACATTAAAGATATGACATACCTTTATTTTTCCACATAGGTACCAAGTACATTGAGACATTTGTCATATTGCTTGATAAGCTTCAAAAAGCCCTCCAGGAAAAAATCAGGCCTTTGCATATGGAAGAATCGTTGAACGGCTTGTTTCACTTCAGTATTGCTTCCAAAGTGCCTTCCCCCGAGATTTTTCTTCAAAGCCGGAAACCGATGGAAGTCGCTTGGTGTGAGATCAGGACTGTATGGCGGATGGTGTAGGCGCTCCCAACCAAGAGTTGCAATATGGTTTTGCGTTGCCGTCGCCGAATGTGGTCTGGCATTGTCATCCAACAGCAGAACGCCAGATGTGAGAAGGCCAGGCCACTTTTTCCGAATCGCCTCTTTCAATTTCGACAGGGTGTCACAGTAGCGCGTAGCGTTGATGGTTCCAATCTCCAAAAAGTCCAGCAACAAAATTCCTTGGGCGTCCCAGAAAACTGTGAGGAGCACTTTACCTGCAGAGGGAGTTGTCTTGAACTTCTTTCGGACAGGTGATGACGGATGTTTCCACTCCATAGATGTGGCCTTCGATTCTGGCGTGAAATGGTGGGCCCACGTTTCATCCCCCGTCACAATCCGAAACAGAAAGTCATTGCCATCTTCATGGTAACGCATGAGATGTTCCAGGCTGACCCCCATGCGTTGTTCCTTGTGTGTCGAGGTCAATTGTCGGGGCACCCATCGTGCTGACACTTTTCTGTATCGAAGAATGTCATGGATGATGTTTTGAGCTCGCTCATGCGAGATTCCAAGTTCTTCCGCTACTTCATCGATGGTGATACGCCGGTTCGCTCTAATCATGTCATCCACCTTCCTGACATTTGCATCTGTAGTGGCCGTGTGCGTCCGTCCAGCTCTCGGTATGTCCTCCACTTGCTGACGTCCATCACTGAATGTGCGACACCATCTCCACACCATTCGCTTCGACAGCACACCTGGCCCATAGACTTCCACGAGGCGGTTATGAATTTCTGTTCCTGATACTCCACGTGCCCAGTCATAGCGGATAACCGCTCTCACTTCCTCCTTTGACCACGAATTCAAAACGCACCTCTCCATAGCTACTGGGGCTCAAATGAGAGGCTGGTCTCCGCTTTGCGCAGGCACTGCAACAGTGCCATCTGCTGATTTGCAGCGACCTCTACCCAATGGTGTATCGGTGACTTGCGCGTTTTCCTGCTGTGTCGCCTTTCGCCCACAGCCGCTCAACGCTTCTTCCATATGCAAAGCCCTGATTTTTTCCTGGAGGGCTTTTTGAAGCTTATCAAGCGATGTGGCAAATGTCTTAATGTACTTGGTACCTATGTGGAAAAATAAAGGTATGTCATATCTTTAATGTCTCATTCTATTTTTTGACTTTCATACACAACTCTGAACACAGTCGACAGGGAAAACTTATTTTTCAACTTACCCTCATATTTCAGAGAAGTGTGGGGAGAAACTGGAGAGAGGGATGTGTCTAAAGTCGTGAAAGTAATGACTGTACGGTATTGGCTAGTGTTGCTTGAGTAAAACATATATTTTTTTTATTCTGTGTCTTCCGTTTTCGTTTACTTTTTGTAGTAGGTTCCAGGAATAAAGAAAGATATAATGGATGTTTCAAACCCATTTATCTTTTTTGAATTATTTTTTCATGAACTGCTCGTGCTTCATATTGTTACTGAAAACAACCATTTTGTAGACAAGTATATGAAACAACACCTTGCAAACGAAAAATCAAGAACAAAATCGTAGCATTCAACCAGTTCAGAAGAAATATATGTTTTTTAGGCATACTGATTTCACAAAGTATAACACTGAAACCTGATATTACACCTTACTGGTCTAAAAATGAATTGATCGAAACTCTTTTAGGGATATTTTTTATTATACTTTTACTCAAAACATTAAATTTTGTGCATTCATTTTTTTTTCTTTTATTTCTTATGTTGTGAAAGTAAACGGTTTTTAGAAAGTAAAACTTGCACTTATTTCCCTCCCAATACATCACATAACTATGCGTGCCTGTGTGAAAAACCGTGGCACTGAGAAGTGAATCTTGTACGTTAAGGGGTTAAAAGTGATATGAGAGCAAAGACACTACTGGTCTACAATATCATATTTGATACACTGAAATGGAATATTTTAATTTGACATTTTAAATGCACATAAATGATGTCAGGAAGTTTTAAAACTTAATGTCTTCAGTTTTAACCCCATAACTATCTAGTTTATTCTACAATATAAAAAATAATGTGTAATTAATATATGCAAGAATCGAAATCTTTGATAACAATCAGATTTTGAACAAATTGTTATTCCATGCTATACTTAATTGCAAAAGTCACTTGAGCATGCCATGATGTCAAGTGCTCCACTGTCATGGGCCCACAGAGAAATTCATTCTCCCTGCACTGGGAACGAAAAGGTTGATAACATTTCGATCCATTGCTTGCATCAATCACAGCTAAGTAGGAAGACTTCTCACAAGTTTTTGATATTAATCTATAGGAATTGCCTTCTACTCATCCATGAGGACTGCACTGAATCTGGCTGCTACACATGGGCAGTTTAATTAAGAACATAATCCACACTGAAGTTTCAGATGTGTTCAATGTGGTTAGGATTAAGGTTTTGGGAATGCCAATCTAGTTCAATTCAGCCAACCTATCTTTTCAAGAAATTTAGAAGCACAATCTTTAACATTTGGACATAATAATTAGCCCCTGATTGAGAACAGATCTTTCCCAGAGCAACTGCAGCAAGTTGGAAGCGTGGTGGTGTCATATCAGTATTTCTGAGTGTTAATTTTTGGTCATAGGAACTAAAATTTCTGAGATAAACCAAAAGAATTAGCCTTAAACAACAGTACTTCTTCTATCACCAAACTTGTCAGAATCATAGCTCATCTAAAATGCAAGGAGAATGAATTACTATAAATAGTATATTAATACACTGCTGATCAAAATTAAAGTATAATCTGAAAAAAAAAATACTAATTAAAATTTTTAACTGAAGTCTTTAGGTATAATTATTTTGTCTCATGCACAATTGAATGCAAAACTGTGGACTTCCGTACACTAGTTAGTGAGTGAGATACGAAAACTAAATGACTGACAAAATATTGTGTAATGAACATGTGTTGGAATTAAAGTTTGTAGTATTTAAAGATAATATATTTTCTGAAAGTGATCAATATTTCACTAGTTATGACTCAAAGCCATCATTTTAAGTGGCGGTTAACTGGTAGATTTGATGGGGGGAAAGGGAGAATTAACACAAATGATGGTCACACAAGATATAAATATTCTTTAAAGTATCACATCAAGAACTTGGAACTGCGTTTTAAGCAATGAATCAGTTAATAAACAGCCTGGTCAAAGGTAGCCAAGAGTAACAACTGCATCTGAAGGTTCCATTTGACATTTTCAGTTTGAATAAAAAAAAAAAAAGAAGCAACTGTGGCAGAGTTGGTTTTAAACATTCAGGCTACCACAATAACTCAAATCAGCCATTTTCTGCAAGACAAAAATTTTATGAGGTTGGACATCATCTTCCTAGGAATCTATCTAAGGAGGTGCTGTTGTCTTCTTCAATGTAGTCAAGAGACATAGGGGCATGTTCTTTTTATTAACAAGTCCAGATAAAAGTTTTAACTATGATTCTAGATCTGCTTTATCTAGACAGTGAGGAACATGTGATTTGCCTTCCCTTGTTCATGAAAGATTCTTTTCCCCCCAGAATAGGTTCCAAGGCTTGAGATGAATTCATAAACGATGGCAGCACTGATATATATATATATATACCATTGACGGAAGTTCTACTATATAAAGTCACAGATATTGAGTAAGATACGAGTTCTTGGAATCCTATTACGGCTGTGTAATGACACCAATGACCCAGATTCTTTGTTAATGACTGGAAAGGTTTACTGGCACCAAGCATCTCTGGTGTTAAAATACTTAGAAATTGAAGTATCCATTGAGTATATTATCCACATTATTCAATAAAACTGAAACTCATTGAGGACACACTTTAGGCATCCCGAAGTATGCTAAATGCTTTCCTGCACCACCAAGGATTAATAACAAGCATTTTCAGAAGAGTGTTATGCAATTTCGTACAGCCTGATAAACACTGTTGTAAATTCCATGAAATCAAGATGGGAGGTTTCTATTTCCATTAGCAATCGTAATAGTAAAGATTTTTTTTGTTTCTTTAATATTATGGCTGCTAATGGAAATAGAAACCTCGCATCATGCACTGTAAAATGAGAGATCATTTACCCATCATTTTTAACCCTCTAAGCGGCAAGGCCGTATATATACGGCCTAGAATAGTTTTTGTGACATCTATAAGAATGTATATATACATGCATATTAAAATATGTCAAAGAAATTAAGGAAATATCAAAAGTACACAAATCCGGGTATGAAATGCCACGATAGTTTTTACATTAAAATTTAAAAAAAAAAAAAATTTGTTTTCAGAGAGTTTTGGGAAATTTGTGCTTTCTTACCGAATACCCTGGCTGCTCAGAGGGTTAAATTCCCCCAAAACTGACTTTAAATTCAATTTTTAAAATTAACCAATTGACACACATGGCAATTAATGTTAAAAAATGTTTTTGCACAAATTGTTTTCAATCAATTTACAATAACTATCAGTTCAGCATTATTTTTGTCAATATCCCTTAATTTTGATCAAGCAGAGTAACTTCATTAATGCATCTTTAGCAGACAGATTTTAATTGTTTCTTTCACACTAATAGTATTTCTGAGCTTAAAAGACAAGTTGCAGAAAGAATTAACATAGCCTTTCCGTAAGTAATAAATGATTAAAACTTCTAATACAAAAAAACAAAACTCAGCAGACATACCTGTTGGCAACAATAAGAAACTTCACACTATTGCTTTATATCACTCTTTATCTGTGATTACAGTGAATTTAAAACCAAAAGCAAAGGATGGAAAGGCCTTAAACAGATCCTATTTCTTAAAGGGTGCTAGAATTGCAGCTGTAGTAATTTTTGTAATATTATTTGTGGTGGAATGTGGTCATGAAAATACAGAAGTATGAAGAACTTGGACTATCAACTGCAATACAGGCAACACAATTGCACTACTGACATGCTCTACCATACTTAAAAAGCTGTGACCAACCTATATTTAGATACACACAAATTCTTATGACATACTTATATGCCATTAATTGATGACCTGTAGGAAAAAGATTATGACTGCAAAAATCTTATTACATACCCAAAAAAAAAAAAAAAAAAAAAAAAAAAAACATCGAAAGCAAGATTGACAAATCTTCTGGATTAGTTGAACACTGGTTTTGCACATCATAAAAGCTGCTGATTGCATAAATATCTACAGTGCTCTTAACAACTTAAATTTTAACAATATTTTACCGAAAAATACTCGGTGGCTTTTTGTATTTACTAGGTGGGCAGTTATTATATTTGATCTTAATGTTACTTTACTACTTACTAAGATAATAATAAACGAAATTACTACATTTACTACTTAAGTATTCCGAAAAGTCTGTGAAACAAAAAATGCTATGTAGTGCGAATAAGAATTAACAAACTCGGCAGCACATATACAGAAGACAACCACCTCTAACCTTACATATAAACTCAAAATTTCTAATTATTATTTATCATCTTACCTTTCAGGAGCTGCAGACTGTTGATATGACTGTGATATGGCATTTACATGATTGCAGTTTTTAGCAGCTAATGAGTTCTGGTCTAGTACATTTGGTTTAGGAGTTGCAGTATAACTATTGTTATAGCATAACTTTGCATCCGGTAGAGCCTCAGAAGTGGAGTTGGTTACAGTGACAGCTGTGGCACTTGCACTTCCATAGCTTTCATTTATTGACTTCTGATGCTGAGTATTTTCAGATGTTAGAGGTGATATACCTGTTGCATTGCTGACTATGGAATAAGGGCTACGTTGCTCACACTCACTTGATGCTTGATTCACAGCAGCTGCAGGAAGATTTTCCTGTATGGAACATCCTCCAGAACTTCCATATCCGTTATCTTGAATGCTCTGTCCTTGATGCTGAGGTGAATACTGATGAGAATAATATCCTTGCTCTTGAGGCACTGGGGATGAGGCGGCACTATTTCCATATCTACACATATTATTGCTAATATTATTCTGCACATTATTATACATGGGAGAAGTGGCAGAATTATTTCCTTGATAATACCCATAATTTGATGGTGTGCTATGAGAATACTGATTATACTGGTTTTGACCAGGCATAGTGTTATGAGATGCAGTATGAGACGTAGCTGTCTGTTGGTAATGTACGGCATTTGAAGTACACTGATAATCCATAACATTGTTACAGGAATATCGAGATGATGGATAAGATCCAGGATAGCCAGTATGGTACCTATCCATTGGCTGTGGATAAGCTTGATTATAATGATTTTGATTTCCTAATCAAGAAAAGGAAGAGAGATAAACACATAACTGACATGTCCTTACTTACAACTCACATTTCTATTGAAACATAAAATGGAAACGTTACTGGATACTTTAAAAAATATCACCGATACATTTATATCAACAAATGATTAAACAGAAGCTACAGTATTAACACAACTTGCTCCATAAACAACATTAGTAGGACTACTACATATCAGATACACAAACATGTCCCTCAAACAGGTAAATCCTTAACTGGGTAGTGCATGTTAATTTTTATACATTTATTTTGCTCTCGTTCCACAAAAAGTAATCTCAAAGTGAATTTGCATACAGTCAAAATTAACAGTAACATGCAAAAGTATAAGAGAATATTTTTTTTTTTTTTAAATTACATGTTATAATCTTCACTATGATTTCCTTGTAGCTACAACTGAGTAAATAAATGTCTTATTTTTAAACTAAAATACAATGTAATTAAAAAAAAAAAGAATTAATTTTTATCTATCATGTTTGATGAGAAAAGCAGAATGATTTTCTCAATGGAATCAGAGTTATATGGACGAATTTATAGAAACAGCACTAACTTTGCTTAGTAATTTTTGAAATAAAACAAATACCAAAGTCTTTAGAATTGCCTTTTGACATTAAATGCTGTGTAAGCTTGACAAGTACAAACTGGAAATAAAAAAAAAAAAAAAAAAAAAAAAAAAAGGGGGTGGGGGGGAGAAGGAAAAAATATGACTAAAGAAAGTTTATGACACAATTAAGTTTTGTTGTTTAATTAACATGAAGCACAAAAATTTAAATCTGATAAATTAATGTAAAGATGAGAACAGACATATTACAGAAAAAAAAAAAAAAAAAAAAAAAAAAAAATCCATATTCGCTGTTCCGAGAAAACTGTCAAAATGGATTTACATAGAACAGGAAATCATCTATTATAAGTTAAACTTAACAAAATGCATAGAGGATGCTACAAAATATGCAGACTGGAGATCTTAGAAAAAAAAACAGGTTCAACAACAGAACATCAACTTATTTGTTTCATTCTTCAATGCATATGTAAACATGATGGCGACAATACGCTTACTTGGTAGTGATGTAAGGAAAATAACAAAAAAGTGTATCAGAAGATGTACCATAAAAAGTCTTCATACTGTACAACACACTGTCATACTAACTGAAGTTATTGTCATCAATAATGAAAGGACTTGAAGCATATCTCTAAGCTCTGTAAAAATTATCTCAGCAGGATGACTCAAATGTGTTCATACAGAACTCGTATCCCTGTCATACTGAAGATACAGAGATTTTTTTTTTTTTAAATTACAGTAGAAGAAAACATTTGGGAATACATATAGTAAGTATGAAACGTATTTTAAGTAAAACTTCATGAAAAAAAAAATTATAACACCAGAGATTAAAAGCAGTTATTAAAGCTGAATTTCAATAAAATGTAATTTTTTTCTAATTCCTGTCCATAAAGTATTGTATTGTTTACAATGTTTGTTTCTCATTTTCCTTAAACGAAACACAAGACATGATAAAAAAAGATAACTAACATTTTTGCATCATGCATCATATTTTGCCTAGCCTAATATTTTTGCATCATGCTGCACATAATAAAACACGAAAATGTATTGCCTCTTTCCCAGTCATATCATCATGAAGAAATCTGATAACATTTACATCATTAAACAGTTGACGTTTGCATGACTGAGGTACTTAAGCAAAGCTAAAGAATTATTACAATTTTTTTATAAATTCTTACCATAACTTGTAGTTGTTGAATTTTTGCCTTTCTTTCTAGATGAAGCTTCAACCATATTAATGATAGGCTGAGGATCAACGCCACCTCGATCAAACTTACACTCAAATGGCAGTAAAAGTTTCATGTACTGCTTACGCAGGGTATATGCAGCACTAGATGATGCTCCAACACCAATAGCACCAGCAATATCTTTCCATCGTTTAGCATTTGTTACCTAAAAAAAAAAAAGTGACACAGAATATGAAAAATGAGGAACTTTTAATAACATATGCTTAATAGTGGAAAGCTACTGCACCAAACACACAATAATTTAAAAAAAGAACAAAATATAAATTTATATAAAAAATAGAAGTAAGGCACCAGTCTTAATGCTAATCTTTATTGTATTACAGCCAATCAACACGGTCAGAGAGCAATAAATGCAGTGATTCAAGGAAGAGAATAAAAGGCCTATAACCACAAACATATCTTTATCACATTTTAGACAAACACATTAAACAAAACAAATTTTGGATTGATCTGCTCTTTTCAAAACTCTTAAGAACAAAAGAAAAAAAATCTTTTAATCAATAAACTAGGATAAATTTCAGTGAAGATAACATGGATTAACAATCTCCTGAAAAACCATGCCTAAATGTGGTCTATTCCATTTCAATAATATCTTAAAAGTAAATTTTAAGAGTCAAGTTAGATTGAATTATTTATTTCAGGCAATATTTTTGATAACTATTTCCCCTACGAGTACATTCATGAACAGCTTTTGAAGAAAAATGGCTTTTATTCAAGCACACACAGGTAAGGTTTTACATGCAGCAACTCTGATGTGGAAATAGAACATTTAACTACCGAATTTCAAGTCCTCATATCCACTCGCCTACTAGTATGCCTATAAAGCAAGTTTGTACATGTTAAATTAAGAAATACAATAGAAATCAATGAAACTAGCTAGTTAATAATCTAGTTTTCTTAAGATTTAAACACTTTTACACTCTAAGACTTATAACTACTTTGAGAACTGTTGAACACACATTCCACAATGGTGCACTAATGAAATAGTTGAGTTATTAGGCTAATTAATAGGCTTTGTCTGCATATATGCTAATTAATAGTAGGTTATTAGGCTAATGTTAGTTGAGTTATTATACTAATTATTTAACACTGCTTTTCTACAAACATATTAGTATAATAGCAAAATGTAAAACTATAAAATCAAAAAGACCATTTAGTTGAAGGGAATGATTTATTTTTGTATTTAAAACTAGCAACAGTTAGACAATAAAATTCACTTAGTATAACAATACAATAACTCACAACATCACAGAAATTTTAAGTCTTACCTATTATTGTACAGAAAATACAAGAAACAAGTAAAAGCATAAAATAAAAAGTTTGAAATCCAAAGTGATCTAATAACAGGACCATCAGACCTCCCTCCCCCTTAAGTTTAACAATGGGGGATATAATTCCTTTAAAAAGGAAGATGTGTGTGAAATGCTATTTTTCTCTCCACTGAGATTTTATTATGTTGCTTTCAAACACCTGCTGGCTTAGACAGTGGCAACATGATCAACGACATTGATTGATGTGCCGATGTTGACAAGCATCACACTCTTTGCACTTGAGTGGTTGTGAGTTGTTTGCATTTTTTTTCTGATTAACAGAAAGTGAAGCCCAATGTTGCGATGTCTACATGCCAACTTACTAGATTTAAACTGGTGATTTAAAATGTGAAAATTTCCGGAATCATTCAAGTCCCAACAACACTTTGCATTGTATAAGAAATAGGTATATAACCCATTTAAAAAAAAAAAAAACAGGGCAATGTGTCTAAAAGGAAATATATATATAAAAAGTGCCCAGTCTACAAAAGAAATTAATAAAAACCCATTATTCATAAACAATATTTCTGCTACGGTATTTCTAAATAAACCTGAAATGCTAAGACTTAAGACTGGATTGAAAAGTGTTTAATACAGTTAATGATTAAAATGTTCAATCACACAGTGTAGTGACTTCTTAACCACTTCACCATTTTCCCTCGAGATAAATCTCGTTGATTATGAAAATGTTGCCAGTAGCTTTTAACCCTAATACTAGATACAACACACATACATACTGCACTTCATACTAGATTTATTGAAATGATTCAAAAGTACTGACAACACTTTTCAAACCAAAAAGTCTGTCCTGGGGGAAACGATGAAGTGGTTAACCACATTATTTACTCCTGATGTCCAATTATATCTCTAAAGAGAACAGCTACCACTCACTAACACATGGGGAAAGCTATAGATGTATAATTTTACCACATATCAAATGATTGAAACATTTTAACACAAATATTATAACTCATTTCAAAGATCAATACAGCTTTGTTGTATGCATGTTTTACATAATAACAATATTAAAACTAAATTTTTTGCTTGATATGTCGATTTGCAAAGATAAAATTGGTGGTTTATGTTCTGGAGGAAAAATCATGTAGAAATACAGCAGATTATACAGTATTAGCAATTGAAAAAAAAAATAATGATATACCTTTTAATCTCTGAAGATACATTTGATACGCTGTAACTTGTGTACAGTTTGTGAAAGAGATACTAAAATAGTTCATTACAAGAATTTTTCAAGCACAGTTTTAATGAAGAATTTGATAATACTACACACATAAATAGAAAATCTTGCTTTTATAATGAACACAGTGGATAAGCAAATACATGATTAATTTTGAAAATTTTATCTGCTCTCGCAAAATAATATTGAAATTTTAGAACAAGATTCAATTGATGAAATAGAAATCACATTAGAACATTTATCAGCCAAATTATTAAATGAAGAATCTGCTATCTAAAACACAGAACAAAAATAAATGCAATTGCATTTAAAATACACACACACACAAAAACAGATATAATGTGACAGAAATGATAAGTTAGCCAGGGCTAAAAAAAAAAAAAAAAAAAAAAAAAAAAAAAGAAAAGAAAAGAAAAAGAAAAAAGAAAGGCTGGGTCATCCCTTTTGATGGTAACAATGCCAAAAAAATTCTTTAGGGAAGCATACTAGATGTTATGCTACTTAAACTGGCTTTGTGACCTCATATAATGACCAGAGCTCAACAGTGTGAATGCCTAGATCTTTAGTTCTTAGATTCAGAGAAAAAAAATTATTTTACTTGAAAAAATTACAGCTGATGATACTTTTAAATTGAATTTATATTTAGATAGTGCATATGATGGGGGAAATATAGAAAAATGGTCTCCCGTCCCATTGCATTGTATAAAAATATAAAAGAATCCAATGTGATTTTCCTGTCCCACTCCTACGCAGAAAAATATGAAGGAATGGAATGCAATTTTCATCGATATCTGCACAGAATTAATTATTCTATCAACAAAAGAATGACTGCACAGATAATGAAGAGTAGATATTGTCAACACATAGAATATGCAGCAATTACATGAATGCATCTGATTGTGTGTGTGTGTGTGCGTATTTAATTATGGCAAAGCAAACTAGGGCTATCTGCCTAAGAGGAGGGATGCCTTCGTGGAGGACTTTCTAAGGGAAACTGGCTCGTATACACGTTACACATGGGGAAAACCACGAAAACGCCCATGCAGCCAGCCCGTTCGCGCGATTCGAACCTCGGACCGAACTACCAGTGCTCAGCGACTTTACCGCTCGGCCGCTGGTGGGCCCCGCATCTGATTGTGAAGATGATGATATAAAATATTTTTCTACGATTATTGACAAAAAAAGGTGCTGAAGTTAATTTGCATCCTAACTTTTAAATATATCTCATTCAGTTATTTATCGCCAAAGCAACAACAAAAAAAGTACAAAACTAAGTTTCTATTTTACAAGCTGAGACAAAGCAGCATTAAAAAACAAACATATCAAAGGAATAGCAAGCTAATATTAGGGAAAAAAAATTACATCTAGATGACATTTCAGTCTGCACATTAATCAGGTCACTGTCCGTAAAATTACACATCCAGAGAGGAAAAAAAAAGGGGGAAGGGGCATTCCGCTTGATGCCCCTCTAGCACTCTAAATGGCCATTCCCACTGGGGTTTATTTGAGAAAACAGAGTCAGTTCCCTGTGTCAGCTAGCTCCACTGTGCCTGCAGTTCCGATTTATCAACTTGTTGCTCTATGGGAAAAAAAAACTGGTGTGAGATTGGGTATACAATACCTCTCAAGTACTCTGCCATAATCAAATAAATAAAACCACAGCTACATTACTGGTTCAGATGCTGTAAATTCATAAGCTAAGATCTTTGCTTACACTACCTACTATTAAATTCTTTAAAAGCTCCATGATTTCTAAGCAAATAATTGTGAAAATAAAGGCTGAGAAACATACTCTCAAAGCTAAGCAAATATAACTATATAACTTCTGGTTTCAGCTGCAAGCAGCCAAAGAATCAACCCTTTGGCCCAGCATTTAGTACAATCATGCAGAGGCAAGTCAGAATTGCCATAGAACACAGATATTTTAAATGATATAGAATGCCGCACTTAGCCAAAGCATTTATGACAGTTAAAACTTTTAACTATCATAAATGCAGCATAGTATATGTACATTAGAAAAGCATTCTGTAAGTAAGGGTCTCTGACACCTCTTAACCTACCACCAACCTCTCGAGAGGACTTTTGGATCACCGCATATTTACAGTGCTGCATGGACACTATACATTTATAAACATCCATACCTTCTCTGGAATTCGAATGCGTGCCCTTTGGTATGGCAGTGAGCGACGCTAACAACTTTACCAGTTGGGCGGTGCACACATTGTACATACATTTTTAAGCTACTGTTTATGATGAAACAAAAGAATAATTATCAGTTTACTAATGCAGAATTTATGGCTGCTAGAGCGAAAATAACCACACAAGCTCTTAAAAATACATAACAAATCAAACAATGCAATAGAAAGATGTACCTCTACAAATCCTCCACGTTCCTTAACAGTAAGGTAGACTCGAAAAACATCCAGAGGCTGCTTGCTTATAGTAGGGCACTGGGTGATGGGACTACCCCTATCTTCATTAAATACAATTAGTTTATCAAGAAAGTAACGCCTATCTGGTTCATCTGATAATGTGTATAACTTCAGCAGGTTTTCTGGACGCTAAAATATTTTAAAAAAAAAGTTTTATTACAATTTATGCAAATTTAAAAAATGCAATGCATACACTATAACCCACAAAACAATTATAAAACTTAAATATGATTTGAAAGAAAAAAACATGATTTTCATTTTAAATACAAAGTTACACAGCAAAATGTTACAGAATGGTTTACTTGCAAATAAATTCTCTCATTACAGATATTTTCTGAATAAACAATTTGAATTCCCTAACCTGCATTTTAATTTCAATGACACATGTATTAATTTCAGACATGTTTATAGCTATAAATAGAAAAGACTTATTTTAAATGACTTGTTGATGAAAATTACAATCCCCCAGAACCCCCTCCCCTGAAACAAATTACTTATACCTTATAACATACACCTTTGTATTTGAAACTTTTCAAAATACTGAAATTGCATATTTATAGTTTCCATAAGCAATAAATAATTTCTGTGACTAGCTCACTGATACAACTTAGCTTTAATCCCTCATTTATTTTTAAATTTGACTACAGCTCTTAGAAAAACCACCACATAATTTGTTACTTTTGACTCATTGTACGTTTTAACAAGCACAATTCCATAAAATTAGTTAAATAAAATGATTCTAGGGGTCTACCAATGAAATATGTATACAATAAATATTATATAACATTTAGAAAATCTGAAGGCGTTTAGATTTTAACATCACACAAGAGGATTTTTGTTAAGGTTTTTTTTAAACTCTTGGCAAACTTGCAATTTATCAATTTGCTCTTGGATTTCTTCCTGCTAAGGCACTACTTTTTGTCTTAACTTCATTATAAATACTCTTTTTTTTTCATGCTTACACCTCATAAAATTCAAACAGTAAAATCATAATTTTTTTTAAAATTCCAGATTGAGTGTTAAATGTTATACATTTTTTATTTTTTCAGCCTTTTCTCAGTTTATCAAAACAATATTCAGTTTTCTTAACAAGATGGCATAACTGCAAACCTCTAAAGATAAAAATTCAGAAGATTTCTTCCCCAAATTCAGAAGATTTCTCCAAAATTCAGAAGAACACGAAGAATTAATATCATGCTTTAATATTAAAAAAATAACAATTTATACAAAAAGAAAAAAGAAAATTGTACTTACATTAGTAAATCTCAATTAAGTAGTAACTAAAAAATTTATTAGGAAACATAAAACAAGAACTTAATGTTACACAAAAAAATTATTGCAATGAATTTAGAGTGCATTTTTTGGCTTTAGCCAAAAATTCTTTGGAAAATTTCCTGTCATAACAATTAGTTTCCTCATAACATTTAGCAATTAAAATGTTTTCTAGAGTTTTTGGTGAAATTGAAGAACGAAACATAGTTTTGTTTTTCTTCACAACACTGAAGACTCTCGCACCCAGCATTACCGTGCGGAATTACGAGAATAGCACATAAAACTCTTGCTAGTCTATCATATTTTGGTGTTCCATCAGCTCTTTTTATTCTTTTTAAGGTACCAACGAGGACATCAAGTCTATCTTCTCTAGAACTGGCAAAGTCTTCAAACTGTGCAGCAGAAAATTGGTTCTGTAGTTCATCTAAAGCATCATTATGGCATTCATTTTCTTTAATTGTTAACAAAAATGGAAATTTATCAATAAAAAAAGGAATCTTTTCAAAAGATGAATTTTCAATTTGTTTCAAATTTGCCACTTCAACATTTAAAAGAACTTCATTTTGCAATAGAAACTTCCTTACAATGTATGGCTGAGTAAAAGTACTTTCTAACACATCGAAAAAATTCTTTTTTTCTCATGATCTTTCAAAGAATTTACAAGTTCCCTGGTTAGATTGCCAATTATAAGATCATTGTCATCCTTTTGATTTGCCAAACTATTATAGGCAACACGAATCAACACACTGTTTTTCACAACGGACGGTTTTACAAACTTAGTATAAAGTTCTTTCAAAAGATCATTAAGAATTTGGATAAGCAGGGGAGATTTTGGCGAAAACTGATTGTAGAAGGGTATTTTACACTTTCAAAATCTTAATGATACTTAACACAAAACTACAATATGCTTTGTTCAAATCCGAAGAAAGAAGATAGAAAATCCTTTCCTCCCGGCTAATAGAAGACTGTTTCTTCTTCCCTTGAACTTCTTTAACAAAGTTGACCTTTGAGGAGTCTTCTAAGCATTTTCTTTTTAAAGGGTTTGATTCTGTGTGTTGGCTTTTCCTTTTTAAAGCATTTTGATTAGAAGCAAAGTTGGTTTTCGGAATCTTATATGCCACCAAATTCATAGGATCTGTGGTTTCGTTTTGGTCTCTTCGTGAAAATATTTTAGCAATGCATCCCACTGTTCAATAAACCTTCCTAGCGCTCTGCCTAAGGATAACCATCTCGTGCATACCTGTTTCAGAATTTTTCTCGTTTCACCAGAGCACAGTTCTTGGAAATTCTTTAGGTTTTCTTTGCTTTTTTACACTTTTTTCCAGATAGAAAAACACATCAATCAGAAGCTGGTCAATATTTAATGGTAAAGCAGCTGCAGCTTTTTCTGCTGCCAAATTAATTAAGTGGCATGGGCATGCAATAACAATTAATTCGTTTTGTTTCTTTTTTGAGGAAAGTGACTACACCCTTTTTATCACCCACCATGACAAGAGCATTATCTGCACCAAATGAAATGCAGTTTGATATTGGGATGTTAAGTTGTTTCAACTCATTAATTACCAAGGAGGCAATATTTTCCCCCGTAGCATCTCCATTTAACAATGGTAGACGCAAAAGATGAGGTTTTAATTTCATTGGAAACATCACAGAAATATGTGACAACAATGGGGTAAAGCTTCCAATCGCTGTCGTTGCTGCCATCGATTGACACCGAAAATGCTGAATTCTGGAGTGCAGCTATCGTTTTACTTTGTGCATCGCAAGCAATTTCGTTCACAATAGAAGATGTTTTCGTGCGAGCACAAGCATATTTCTGAGCAATCTTGGAGTCGGGAAACATCAGTCTGAAAAGTTGACCGGCGTGATCGGCAGCGCTTAGCAGCACGTTGTGTTCGATGAGGAATGCAGTAAACAAACACTCTGCCAAAATGACATCGGCATCCGAATTCGTAGCTGAATTTGAAAAAAATTCATCCACTTTCTTTGACGTTGTCGAAGCCGAAGCATTAACTTCATGCTTTTTAGACTTAACATGCTTCACAATGTCGCTTTTCCCACCGTGACTTATTATGAAGTTACACACGCACATGTTGCAAAATGCATAGTTATTTCCTTTGAAGGATTCTTTAATTGTTGGAAATTCGGCTTTGTAGGCAGGCCGAAAATATTGAGAATACGGTTTTTTTTTTTAAACTCATTTCGTAACGACGACGTTAAATTCGTAGCATGTGAAAAAAAAAAAATAAAAAATAAATAAATAAAAAAAAATAATAATAATAAAATAAAAATAAATTATTATTTTTTATTATTATTACCACAAAGAAAAGAGTGGGAGAAACAAGTTCTTGGATTGGCTGGTTAAGCTGCGAGTTGGGAGAAACCGCAGGTTACTGGATTCGAAGTAGTCAGTAGTTGGCGGTAAAACACGATGCAATTGGCAAAAATCGCTGAATTGGCAAAAAATTCTAAAATTTTGACAAAAATCACTAAAAACACTTGAAAAAGGAAAAAAAATCGTAAAAAATGGATTACGATCGTAAAATTGTAAAGACAAACGCATTTTCGTAAAAATTACGAAAAATTCATAAAAGTTGGTAGGTATGAGATGGCCTTCACAACTTTTTTTCCTTCTCATTTTTATTATTAAACATCAGTTTCTTCAGTTATGCAACATCAAAAATTTTAAAAGCAGCATATGTTTAAAATTCCTTATACACTATTAAGTGCCACCAATAATTTTTTTTCAGTCTTTTGTCAGTTTATGATGATGTTTTTTTAGTAAGATGACTTGTGCAACAATTTTTGGTCAGTCTTTTTAGCCCAAAAGGGCTATTAGTTTTGAGTCTTAATTTTTTGTCTTCAAATAAAAAGATGCCATAACATTGGTTAACTGAAGAAGAAAACACTTTGTACCATGTAAAAAATGACTGAGAAAGTAATGTGACAACAAAATGAAATCAGAACAAAAAAGAAAATTAGTCTAAAAACCACACAACTTAAAAAATAAACAACTGGAATTGCCATAGTCAGAACTGACAATGTGGGGAAAATGAGCCTTTTCCGAAAGTATCCCATACCTGTTCATTGGGATTTAATACAGGAGAATATGTTGACCAATCCGTTCAGTGGATATCTTCACTTTCCAGAAGCATCTCAACAACATGAGTCTTGCGTTGCCGGGCACTGTCATCTATAAAAACAAAGTTGGGACCAATGGTACCTCGGAAAAGACGCACATGGGGAAGGATAACTTCCACACAGTAACGATCTCCGGTAAGTGAAACTTTTGTCAAAATGTGGATCTTTGTCCGTAATGTTAAAATTTGGACTTTTTAAAATTTCATTTTTATAACCTTTATTTTTTACTAACTTTGTCTTTTTAACTTTATTAAACATTTCTTTCTTTGTGCTTTCAGCCACATAAAATTCAACAGAAAAATTCCCAAATATTTACGAACAGCATATTTTTAGAATTCCCTATAGAACTGTTAAGTGTTGGTATACTTTTTTAAATCTTTGCTGTGTTATTTCTTTAAAAATAATACATGGTAATAAAATCTGGTGGTAATATCCTTTTACTTGTGTTGCCATACATTTTTTTACATTCATTATACTATTTTTTAACAATAATGCATAATGATAACCTTTGATTGCAAGATCTAAAAAGTGATATGGACACAAAAGTGAGATTTGACTCTGGTGCTAAAGAAGGGGGGGAAGGGGGATTAAATTCAATTCTATAGATAAAGCATAATTTTAACACTATCACAACAAGATTAAGCTGATCACAAAACAGTTCCATAACAACACATGAACACTTAAGCAGTAATCTACAAAAACATACATTTCTCACGATTTTCAGCATGCAATTTATTTACTATTTTCCAAATAAAGTTAAAAAAAGAAACAAACCTTTATATTTGCAAATTCATAATTGCTATTGGCAACCTATGAAAAAGAAAGTGAGAAATATTAATTTTTGATATTTATAAACACAATATGTTAAATTAAAATACTTAAGACTGATATTATAGTATATAGTTCTATATGTTTAATAAATATCAATACTATATACATCTGTTTATAAATTACCTAATTTAAGTAGAAAATCAGTTTTGATTACTATTTCCAATTTCAAATATGTTTGTTCTTGCATGTTCAGTTTTTACAAACAGTATTCATAATTAAAACATGTACTTTCCAAAGTTAAAAAACTAGTTAAGTAACTTACGAGTTCAGCATTACCATCACACCAATACTGATAATAAATGTACAAAAGAGCATGTACTACTACACAAATGGAAAAAGAAATCTGAAGCTATTTTAAAATTTAGAACTCATTTCAATAATATCAACATAGTAGGCTAACCATTAATTATCAAACTAAAACACAACATTAGTTACAGAAGCTTGCACCAAGCACATAAATTATGAAAGAATATTATTTATGACTTTAGCCAAAATGTCCTGTTGTCCTGCGGTCAATGGTTTAAAAAAATGACTGAAATTGCTGCACGAAGTGTGTCACACTAATGTGTTGAATTTTTTTAATCAAACAACTTTTCCCCCTCTGCAATAAATGCATTTAACCACAGAAAAGAATATCCTTCTTGGAATGTAGTATGACTTTTTAAAGAAATTAAAAACAGCTCCTGAACATTGTCATTAAGCAATCCAAATAGCAATGCTATTTACATTATACTGTAATGTATTAACCTTTTGCAGATGACAGTTTTGCCGTATGTACATATTGGCTTTCTGCAACTAGTCAATTGATTGCACATTCACTGGAATGTAGCTATTCAATGATATACAATCAAGGTCCAATAAAAGGAGTGTGATGTACATGAATATATCAGTTACTGTTGTAACGAAGTGATTGCTTGACCTAAGCTGAGTGATTCTCAGAATTCACATAATTATTGCTGCTCACTCACTCAACACTCCATTCGAAAGATGAAATTGACATTTTTATCTTTATGAAATGGCATTTTTGATGGCAATATTTTAATTTTTAGAGCATATGGGTTTTCCAAACAGAAAATTTTGAAAGATTTGACATTTTTAGCATTAATATAAATGTGACATGAGTAATAATTTCAAGGTAAGGGATACATTTAAAAGTGAAGGAAGTTCTTGAACGTGTAAGATAAACAATCAGATTTTTGCAAAGGCATTCAAAGAAATCAGTACATAGAAAGGAAGCTGTAAACTATAGGTACCAAAGATGACAGAATGGCAAATCCTGGAAATTTATATACACGATGCCACAACATTTTACTTTATTTCAAAATTTAAAACAACCAGCAAGAATTTTGCAATCCAGAAAGAGGACACAATGATGACACTGAACACACCGTAACATTGAAAGGATTCAAACAGGAAACTGGTCCCAAGCTACATATTTAGAGATCAAATAAATTTCTCACTATCTCAGTGCATGAAATCAGGTCTTCTGGAAGTTAATATTTTCAGTGTGATGTTTTAGAGCAAATTCAATGTCTACTTTTCTTAAGAAAAACAATTTAAATGGGATAATACTATGACACACTGCCAAGAGATGATGATCAGGCATTCAAAGATAACTAGCAATTATCTTCCCTTTTCAAAAGTCAAGCACAAGGCGGAAGACTTGAGAGAAGATGATGAGACTTGTTCACCATTTCAGAAGATTAATTTTAAACATATTTTGACCAATGGGAAAAGGAGTGGCCATAGCATAGGGCTTTAATGCCTTTTTCACTTGCAAATTTAAACCTCTATGTTTCTAGTTTTTAATAAATGCAGGCCTGATACTTTTTTTACTGTACCTAGCAAATCCAATTATTCACAATATAAAGGAGAGAGATTCAGCGATTAAGATATTTTCCAACGATTTCAGGTTATTTTTGTTGACAAGAACTTTTAATCTGGATATCTGCTGTGCAGTATCACAAGAAGCATGATTTTATGCACTTTCTTAACTCTCACTACCATCATTTCTACTCAGAACAATGATTTTATCAGTTATTCCGACCTTAATGCATATTCTTTAAAATATCAATACTAGCTTACTAACATAACACAGAAAACATAATTTACTTCATATGAGTTACGTTACATTATTTAAATATAGCAGATCACATGAGGATTAACTATTTAAGAGAAGGTGTGCCCTCTTGGAAGCTTATTATACTGTTTTAAATGAAACTGGCTAAAATTCATTTTATGCATGACTTTGAATCCAGTTCAAACTACCAATATTCAGCGGTCTTTATCACTGGTGGGGTTGCTTCATATGGGAAAGGATAATCAATGTAAAACTGACAATGGATATACAGTACCTGCTGCTTTTTAAACTCAATTGTTAATAATCTCAGCCAGTTATGCTCAGATTTCCTGGAATCAAATCAAATACATTCTAACCAATAGAAAAACTGCCATTTATTAAGTTTAGATTCGCAACTTGAATCTTCAGCGCCAGATTACCTTACTTTTATCTATTCAAAGCATTTTGCAGTTCATTCATTTAACATGTTGTGGACTGTGGCTTTATCATTCAGGTATGTAATGCTTTAATAAAATGGTTTGACTGAAATTTTTCTATCTCCTGGTACCAGTGAGACAATTTTTTCACAGTTTTATTTGTGAACACTAACTTCAGAGAGGCAGAATTTCCTTCCCTTAAGGTTACTAAAAATAATTCTCTAGAGGTATTGTAAATGAGTGAGGATTCCTTCCTGAATACCAGCTGATGGAAGGTAGAAAAGCAACTTCTGTATTCCATTTTTTTAAGCGTCTCTCCTCAAAATCATCCCCTTGGGATAGATACATTATCTACACCAAGAGTTATAAAAAAATTCATGAAATGGTACGCATTATTGTATGTGAAGAGTCTTTGAACGGAAAGGAAGTATTAACTATAGACTAAAGAAAAAGCCAGGAAAGCATTGGCCATGCTTATAATCATGAAGTAGCAGATAATCTTAACAGACCAATGGCATTCTTTTTTGCTGGCTAGAAACATAAGTCACTGGAAGAAGCGTTTAAAAAAACATTTTGTGTGCTCAACTTGCAAGTTGTTGAAATACTGAGTAAAAAGACTTAAGACTGAAAGAAAAGAATAAATTATTAAAAGATTTTAAATGATTCCTGGTAATCTCAGCCAGAAAAAAACTACATTTAAACTGGAAATTTCCCAAACATGGTGTAATTTACTGAAACAAAGAATTATAATTAATGAAGAACTAATAAAAATTCAAATGTCTGAAGGAAGAGCAAAAGAGACAGAAACAGACTCTCAAATTGCTTTATTAGAATGGTTTCCAGCTATGAAACTAAAGTTCCATTTTTTAATGTAGGTCAATCTGGATGTCACCCTGTGACAATCAACTAAAAAATTTTAAATACGGTAAATGAAAACAAAGCATACAAACACAGTAAGAAAGTTATTTAAAATATAAATAATCCATACAAACAATTAGTTGTATTTTGACAGAGTATGAACCTTTTTATGTAGTTCATCGCAACTTGCAATTTATTCTTTGAACTCTTCAAAAGCACTTTTTTTCCTAAATTTGGTCTCAAAAAAGTTATTTGTGTCTTACACGTGAAGGTAATTGCATTCAATAATTGTTTATTTGGCTTTTATGAAACATGAGAACTAAAAGAAACCACGCTATTGAAACTTTTTTAACTTGTGTGTGGCCGTCTAAATAAGGGTGCGTCATATATGCCGTCAAATACGGTAATGACAAACATCGCGTTTATGGTATCAACGTTCAATTGCGGTTTTTCTGCTGTACAGAACTTATTTATAGTATGAAACACCTTTTTAGCAGCCGAATTTGATACCAGGTAAACAAAGCATGAATTCTATAGCTTTTGTAAGATGCACACAAGTAATACGACCTTCATCGATATAGTTTAAAATTTGAATCCAATTCTTATCGGCGCGTACTCTTTCATCATTCCATCACTGGTTTCTCAAAGTTTACATATCTTTTCAAATATAATATTTCATTAAATAATTCATTTTTCAGTGCTATATATTCATTTTCAGTCAAACATTTTTTCATGAAAACTATTGTTTCTTCTATTTTGATTCAATTGACATTTTAAATGAGTAATTTCCCCAAAGTGCTTGCCCCATAATCTAGATAAGAAACAATTATTCATATAAAAATCTATAATTTGTTTAACAAACCATTTCTGGGTTATATTTCCATTTTCAAACATATTGTTTAAAATAGTGCTTAAACTTGGTGGTAGAAATGTACAATCAATTCTTTCTTTAAATTTAAAAATAAGATAATGTATTCCGGAATTCTGATATTTGTTCTTTCTTCTCCTTTCATTCTTTTTATTGAATTATAAAACATTGATGCTTGTGTTTGGAGGAACAGAAGCCAAAGTTTAGCCAGTCCATTTAAAATATATATATATTAAACATTGATCGCTTAAACAAAAATATGATTTTAAAGGATAAAACAATTGTAACACTCTTCCAATTGTGGGCAGTAGAGCTAGCCATCTTGTTTTGGGATATTTTTAACAATCACTTGTATTCTACCTCTGCGTCAGCAGAAAATTCCTTTAGATTTTCTACTCGAACCGTGTAGCTATAAAATTTTGCCAATTAATTCGTCATTATCTATAGGAAACAAATCTGATGCAGTCTGAACTGCATTAAGGATTATGGGTGCTGCACAGCCTACATCAATTATTGGGTCATTTAGATGAATGTGGGAAAATACGTTATTTGTTCTGTTTCTATTAACATATCCTACATTTGAACTGGTATTGTTTGCACAATATCTCACTAATTTATTTGTTAAGTTGTTTGAAGCCAACAGATCAATAATAGTCTTGGTGATTATTTCCAAAGTTTCTTAGGAAAGAGTAATTAAGTTTAAAATTTTGATTTGAATACCTTTGTAACTGAAAAATGCAATGAGGATCAGAAACAA